TTAGTAAATCATTTACGCAACATAAATGTGTCAATTGTATCTTCTTGCACTTTGGATGATAAGAGAATATACCATATGAGCCTGCAATGTCTAGTAATCTTGATAGCATATTCATTACTATCATGAACAAGTATGTTGACATATGATCCCCTTGTCTTACTTCTTTTGCACCTTTAAAATATCCCACAAACCCTCCATTAATAGATAAAAAAACATGGATGAAGTGAGACAGCTTTTGATCTAGCCTACAAATCTTCTTGAAAAACCCATTGCCTCAAGGACAGCAAGCAAAAACTCTCAATGTATAAAATCAAAAGCTTTCTTTAAATTTACAATTATGGCAAACCTTGGGGAAAACGTGGTTCTATTATACCTTTTCATTAATTCTTAAGCCAGTAGCACATTTTCGGTAATGCTTTTTTCTTTTATAAAAGCATTTTGGCTTTTGCTAATAAAATTTGGTAAGTACCTTTGTATTACTGCTTGCTAATATTCAAGTTATACCTTTGTAGATAACAAAGTAGCATGCAATTGGCCTGTAATCTGAAATGCTAGTTGGGCTTTGATATTTAGGAACTAATGCTATTATAGTAGAGTTAAAGGCAGGCAACAAGTCTTAGGTGTTAAAAAAATACATTATTGCTACTATTACATCTCTTCCTATTATACTTCAAGTTGATTTAAAGAATTATGCATTATAACCATCTGGCCATGGTGCCTTATCATTATGCTGGGAAAATATAGCTTCTTTTATTTCATTTATAGTTACATCTTAGGATAAGACTGCTTGTTGTTTTTCAGTCAAGTAACCTTGAAGAATATCTACAACTAACCCCTTTGAGCAGCCTTCAACTTTAATATCCTTTGTTCTTAATAGTTTTTTGAAAAATCCCACAGTTCCTGTAAAAAATGAGAGAACGTGTCTACCCTTTTACCTTCATTATCATATAACATCTTAATAGTACTTTTTTTTTACTTGATTGCCACCGTGTTATAAAGAACCTTGTGTTTTGGTCCCTTTCTTGTATCCATTAGATCTTGGATTTTTATTTTCATAGGCTTTCATCATATTTTAACAATTCTTGAAGCTCTAGTAAAAGCCTTTTCTCATTTTCGGCATCAACACTTGATGGTTGCATAAGTGTAGCAATCTACACCTCTTTCAGTTCATATTTTTTCTTTTAACTTTCTCTGTCAAGTCACCAAAATGTATGAAATTGAACATCTCTAACTTTGCTTTTAATCTTTTTAACTTTTTGTGCAATATAGTCATAGGTGTCCTAGTGGTTTGCATTTTCCATGACTCTTCTATTATCTTTAAAAAATATGGATGCTTTATCCAAAAATTGAAGAACTTGAATGACTTTGGTGAGGACTACCTTGGGACGTTCAACTTAATTAAAACTAGGCAATAGTCTGAAGCTTCAGGTGGAAAAAATTCAACTGTCGAGTTTGGTCATTGTCAAAGCCATGCATCATTGATTAGAACTTTGTCCAACTTTTTTGATAGTGTATGGTTGCTCCATGTGAATAACGACCTCGTATATGAGTGATCTAATACAGCTAGCTTTTAAATACACTCATGCAATTCTTTAGTACTTGAGTTTGCTATCTGGGAACCATTATAGTCAGAACTTTTCATAAGATGAGCTATCACATTGAAATTTTTTGCTAATATCCATAGGCTGCTATCAACTACACTTTGGAATGAGATCAAATCTGTCTATAATCTTTTTCATTTTTTCTTACTATTAAATGACAGTAAGATATATCACTTGTGTCCCATACATGATTTTACAAGTGATACTTTGATCACTGTCTATGACTAACTCTACCTACAATTCAAACTTCCATAGCAACCATATTCGACCATTATAAGCTGTAGAGTAATTATTGTAAAAAGATCAGTAAAAAAAATGAGCGTTCAAGACTTGCATCATATTCTCTGCTTTATCCTAGTTTCTAACAAGCAGGCTACATCAACTTGAGCTTACCTAATCCTGCCTATAACCTCATTTTGCTTTAGATGAGCATTAAGCTCTCTGACATTCCAACTAAAGATGTTCATGAGGAAAGAGAAGAAGAGGATATACCTCTTAAGGTAAATAGATCTACATTTACTTTATTTTTCCCCTTATCAATAGGTTATCTTTTCTTATTCTTCAATTGCTTCATTAAGTCTATAACCCCAGCTGATGCTGCTCTTACTTTCTTTGGTGAGTTAATAACTGGCTCAACCTCTTTTGTTTCTCAAGATTTTACCTTCACCAGGTCCACTTGAACATCATCATTCATTTTATCATTCTCAACAATTGTTTCCAACATAGCAAATCTGTTTGCTGAAGCATAATGCACAACTTGTTTTGCCTCAATTCTGGCATTTTCTAATGCAACCACCTTTTTTTTTTCTTTTCTCAGTTTTGTCTTTGGCTCATCATTTTTGTTTTTTTGGCTGCCACACCTTGTTTCTATAGCCATTGGCTTATTCATACAGACTTTATCTGAATGCCTAAATATATTACAGCATTGACATCGTGAAGGCATCTTTGGTACCTCTACCAATACCGAAACAAGTGTTCCATTTCCTAGCATCACATTTATAAATCGAAGGACTTCAACATTTACCTCCATCTTTACACAAATCTTTGCATAAACTAGCCTCTCATAATTTGCTGTAATTTTATCCATGTATAATGGTACACCAATGGCATTCGCTATATAACTTAGCCCTTTCTTTGTGTATAACTCCAATGGCACATTATACAAATGCATCCAAACAGATAACTTGTTCATTTTAAACTTCAAACTTTTCATCCTTGGTTCCTATTTTCGAACTATGATAAGCTTGTTCTAAATATGCCAAAGCCCTGATTCTAATACTTTATCACAATCCAACTCAAAAGAGAATTGCAATAAGAACAAGTTATTCCCTACTGGTTTGATTATAACCATTCCCTTATTTCTCCATAAGATACTAACTAGTCGCTGAAATTGGCTAAAGTTAGGTGCCTTACAAATAAATTGAGCCACAAGTGAGTTTTGCCATTGATATACTCCTTCTTCAATAATATCATCCAATGGTTTCACCAAGATCTTTCCATTTTCCTTCAGTAGGGGAAAAAATTACAGTGATTGATCTTTCAACATTGAGAAAAAATTTCTCTAATCTGTAATTATCTTTTGCACAAAAGCTCTATCTGTGAGGCCTGCACTGCTAGTATTCGATGATTCTTCCATGTCTACCTCCCAAATCGACAAGATGATAATAGCAAGAAAATGAATGGTTCAACAAGAAAATTTGGCAATTAAAAAAGAAAATTGACAGTTTAAAAAGGAAAAGATGATAGTTGGGAGAGAAAATCTTCAACACAAGAGAGACCCAATCACGTTTTTCTCCACTTTTAATAGAAATCCATAATATCAAATTAACAAAAACTTAGATGTATTAATAATTCTTGAAATCTAAGTACCTAAATAAAGCTATGTAGTATTGAGTGGACATAAATTTGGATTCTAAGTTGAAAATTTTGAAGATATGATCATGAAAAGTGGCTTGATGCTTGCAATTAATGTAGAACAGAAGAATGTTGGACGAAATTATAATAATAAAAATTTTAATACATATAAAGAAGTATAAATCGATAGTCTACAAATCAATTATATAATTGAACAAAACTTAAACCTAATGAGATTTAAACTTGAAATCTAAAGGTTTCATGATGAGATCATCCCATTTTATCAAATTTGAAAGAGAACAACTTATTAAAATCCTAAAATGTGTTTTTTTTGTCTTGAGAAGTTAAATGTTTTACATTTAAATTTTAATAATAAGATTCCACAGCGGAACGGGTAAAAAGATGAGTTAAATATTATGAATAATTTTTAAATTATAATAAAATATTTAATAAAATATTTAATTTTAATAATTTTTAATATAATAATTAAATTATGAATTTATTAATTAATATAATATTTATAAAATTATTTATTCATCATGTATCAATATTTATAATTAATTATATTAAAAATAAATATTATTATATTAATTAATAAATTTATAATTTAAATATTACGTTAAAAATTTTTAAAATTTATATATTGTATTAAATAATTTATTATAATTTAAATTTATCCATGATATTAACTTAAAAGAAATCAAATATGGTGAAAGAGTCCTAATTAGAGTTTCTCTTTAAATGACAAGAAGATGACACTATTAACTGACTTGTCACATGTTTTGAATATGTAAATTTTTTTTCATTTGCCAGGTGGCAATGAATTCATTCACTCATTGACGAAATTTTCTCGTCCAAGAAAAAGAAAATTCTTGAGGAATTTTCGTGACTGCCAAACTACTTTCAAGAGATATCTCTGAAAAACATTTATTACACAAAACATATGTGGCGACACGTTTGCGTGAACGTAACAGTCAACCACTAAACACCCAAAAGGAAACTTGCTCCAGTTCTGTCTTAGCTGCCGTCAAACACCCAGAAAGTTTCCCATGTAACCGAGCATATTCCATTTATCCTGAGTCCCTATCCTTCAAGAAAATTACACGTGATAAACGAATTAATTATCAAATTTATAAGAACCGAAATTGTGATTAGATAAATTTAATGATTTATATATTCGTGTAATATAAAATGTTAAAATTTATATATTTATATTATATTTTATATAAAAATTATATATTATAATTATTGTTGATATAAAAATATAAAATATATATTTAATTTTATTAATTTTATATATAATTATTATTTAAAATTTAAATTTGTATTATATTTAAATTTTATTTTTATATCACATTGATACGTGTGATGTTTAAATTTTCAAATCGATTATTAGGCTTAAGCAAGTCAACATCCAGGGAGGTGCGACAGAAAAATTTTCATATGATCTGACGGTTGAGCTGGTGTTTGGCAGTTCATGCTGAGCAATCCATGGGTAGGGTGATTAAGCCATTTTCCTCTATTGTTGGACACTATAAAACGGGCCAACTCTCCGTTAATTGTGCCAACACCAAATGAGCAAAGTTTCCAAATCTTCACCACACTCTCCAAAAACAACAAAAAAAATAATAATTTTTTTTTTATTTTTAATTTCTTTAATTTCTAGCAATGGCGTTGAAGAAAACCTTGGTGGAGAAGCTCTTCAATATTTCGAGAGGCTCTTCTCAAGCTCTTACTAACAGCCGGATTTTTTCATCGACGGTTCAAAATCGAATAACGCAAAAAGCAGGGAAAGCTGCAACTGCAATGGCGCCGCACTCAGGAGAAAGTAAGGGTAACGTTAACGGCAATGGAATTTTCAGGCGGTTTCTCCATAAAGGAGCCATGCTTTCACCGACAATGAGGAAGCTACCGATGGGGAAGAATTTAATGGAGAGGTTAAGGGAAATTGATATGTCCAAGGATCGGATCCGGTTGGACGGCTTGAACCCGCACATGGAGGCGAAATCATCGGTGCCGGAGGTGGCGGCACTGTCGGTTCTGGAAGCAAAGAAATTGTTAAGGGTGGCGCAGTTGGAGGTGGTGAAAACGAGGCTGAGGGAGACCGGGAAAAACTGGATTTCATATTCGGACCTCATTCGGATCTGCGGAGAAGGTTGTTCGGATCCGGAACAAGGATTGCAGTTCGCGAAATTGCTTGACGAATCTGGAATCGTCATCGTTTTGAGAAACGTCGTCGTTTTACGACCCGAACAGGTAGATAAAAATTTTCCTCTCTGTGAATTTTCTCTTGAAATTTTAATTTTTCTGCAGATAAAGATTCTATTTGTGTTTTGGCGTCACAGATTATAGCATTACATAAATTCTATATGCATGGTGGTGGAAAAAAAGATAGGTTTCAAATTCACGAATTAATTTATTTACTTTTAGATTGTTAACTTGGGAAACTACCGAAAACTGATATGTTTTTTTTGGGGTATTTTTGTGTTTTGTGTTTTGTGTTTTGTCTTTTTCGACAGGATTTTTAACGACAGATCTAAAACCTTGTAAAAGGTTCCAACGTTTGAGATGGTTTCTGAGAATGAAGGACCCAAAAAAAAAAAAAATGCCCTTCGATGTTTCTACAGTGTGACTACAAGATCACAAAGTTTTCAGTTTTCCAATTCTTGTATTGGGGGTTTAAAGGAGTAAGGTCTTGGGATTGGGATCTTTCTCAATTCTCACCCATTGGCTTTACCCCCATCCATTTCTTAAAAAAAAAAAAAGTAAACTTTGATGCTAATTCAAGAAAAGGGTAAATTTATATTAGTGAAAAATCAAACTTTTTAAGCTAAAAAATTGAAAAAAAAAAAAAAAAAGATGTGACGGAGAGAGACAGCTGGTTGGTTTTAGATTTTTCTATTTTATACTTTTCTCCCAACTTTTTTGGCTTGTGAATGGTGGGGGTGGATGGGGGTGGGGGGGAAGGATGACGATGCCAACCATTTGGGTAGGATGTGATTGGTTATTTAGATTTGAGAATATCTAACAAAATTATTGAGATTGTGGAAGATGGAAGCCGAAAGATGGTGTTGAGGTCGGTGGGGGGGATAGGGGTTTTCATTGGAGTAAAGGGTACACGGTTCTTTGCCAATCCCTGTGATAAGAATCCAACTTGTTGACAAACACGTATTTTCAATTACTTTTTTTATTACAGGAATGGCCTTGATAAGGATATGCTTTTGATTTCTTATCATCGTGTCAATTTTTGTTTCTTTCACAAAACATATTAAAAAAAAAAGGTATGTTGAGGTTGAGCCATGCTTTACCCAAAAGCGTTTTGATTTTTCTGATTACAGGTAGCAAAAGCTCTAGGAGGTCTAATTCCTTTACCGGGACCCAGACCGAATGACCCAAGAAGAAAAGAATTGGTAGAGTTGGAGAAGCAGAAAGCCATGATTGATCAAAAAGCTGATTCCTTGGTCCGTCGAGAACTCTGGCTTGGCCTAGCCTTCCTGGTAGTTCAGACAGCCGGGTTCATGAGGCTAACATTTTGGGAACTCTCATGGGATGTCATGGAACCCATTTGTTTCTATGTCACTTCCATGTATTTCATGGCTGGCTATGCATTTTTCATCAGGACATCCAAAGAACCTTCTTTCGAAGGTTTTTATCAGAGCAGGTTCAGCACAAAGCAAAAGCAGCTCATCAAGGCTTGCAATTTTGATATCCAGAAGTATAATGCGCTGAAAGGAATTTTTCACCCACATTCATCATTGGAACAAGCCTCATCGTTGCCCCCGTTTGATCATTCTGAGAAGATTCAGATTGGTGCTTTAGATCATTGATGATAGAAAATACTAAAGGAAAGATGACTAGAAATAATACAATTTTGTTTTAGGCTTAGTGGCGGCTTTCTCTGACATTTGGGCTCTATTAAATGGGCTGTGAGGTTGGAAATTATAATAAAAATTATTATAATTACGATTAAAAAAAATATTTTAATTATGATTGAAAAAAAATTTTAATAAAAAATTTATATTGAATAAATTTTATTGAAGTTGATATATGAATTTAATTAATGATGCGATGAGTTTGATGATGAAATTCAAATTTAATCTTTGCGAAAAGCTTTTTTTTTTTTCTTTCGTAACCTTGAAAATCCCTTATCTCTTCTACCTCTTTCCCTTTGTTTTTAATTTCTAGTGTACCTTTAATGCCAACTCCTATCCATTTAACTTACTTTAAAGAAGATATTAGCATTTAAATTCTCTTGAATCCATAAATTTCAAAAGTTTGTTCGATATGTATGTCATTACGAGTTAATGCTTGCTTGGTTGGATCTTGTTCAAACATATCGAATATTGGAACTAATATATATGCAAGAGTGAAGGTTGATCCAACGTAGACTCCAGGAAAATATAAAATCTGTATAGCATAGTTAACAATTTAATAAAAATTTTGACTTGTTTTTACACATGTAATCTTGGGTTACAAGTGAAAAGTAATTTCAGAAATTTTAATCTGTTCATCTCAGGATTTAAATCCGCAATATCTGAAAAATAAAAGCTCAAATTTGATTTGGCCAACTATTTCCAATAGTTAAGACTTTACAAAGCAGGCTTACAGACTCTTCTCGAGGCATTTAAATCATTTAAATACTGCCTAAAAGGCTAAAATACGAAGATTAATGCAATTGAACCATCTATTTGCATGAAGATTAATGCAAAAGCTGATTGCATCCTCCCTCCAATATTTCTTTTGTTTGACAAAGCAAGAAGTAGGTAAAGGAGAAACGTTACAGCAATTCAATTCTCATTCATTGCTCTAAACACCTCCCTCATTCTTGAAAGATATTTGAGCCTAAATCTCAACAAAAATCTAAACAGTCAGGAAAAGACTGTGGTTTAACTTGAGCCTGCTTTCCTTAGCTTAAGCCCTGTCTGACATATTTACCTTCCAGCTTGCAATGACAAACATCAATGGCTTTCATTTCTATAATTTTATTCTTGGCAACCAGTTAGATGAACCAAATTCTTTGTTCTAAACCCTGTAATTCTTCCTATTTCAGTCTACCCTATAATCCTGCCCATGAATACACGATGCTGTCCAAATACATTGCCACAAGACAAAAACCCATTTTGTCTTAAAAGGTAAAAATCCCCGTCTGATAAAAATAACCAGGCTCGTGCCTTGTCACTTGTTACTGCTGAAAGGGAAGGTTTTCCGGGACAGATCCAATCTTTCATTTCTGTCAGGCCCGAGGCGTTGGGACCCTGGTTCTGAAAATCACGTGACACAAGTCGTCACGTCCAAGTTCAATGATCCCTCGGACTGCCTCCCTCCTCTCTTAGCGGCCTTATAAGAAGGCACCAGGAAGCAGGAAAACTGCTTGGCCCATTTCCCAACCTTGAGAATTTTAATACGGAAAAGTCTGCCGCCAAGTCCAATCCAATCCAAATTCGACGAACTTAAAAGACTACCCTTTCAAAGAACGTCAAATAATTAGGTTTTGACTCGTTGTCAGAATCAAAATTAGAAATAAATGTGTGATGTAATTATAAGAGAAAAATTAAATACATTGAAATTTTCTTTTCTTTTTTTTTTTAAAAGAAGATTTCTTAAAAAGAGTCGTGCCAATCCGAGACTCAATTTCGATGACTTATGTAGTAAAGAGATAACTTTAGTAAGTTTAAAATTCAGATGTTAATACATTTATCTTTTTTTTTTCCTTTTCTTAAACCGTGACTTTCGTTGTGCTAAAGAATCAATGTGGCATCTGACACATTTAACTAAGTTTAGTGCCTGATTTATGCTAAAAATGTAAGTTCAAATCTACATTCTCCAAATTATTTAAAAAAAAAAAAAAATGAGAGATGATCTTTTACTAGCCAGGGGAGGTTGCCTTCGTGGCTTTGCCTTTTAAGTGCAAATTTGCGTAGCAATTGAAAAAGGAGGAACCTGTAAAGTGGCTTCAATTGCCACTTTTTTCATCGAAATAGGAAAAAATATATTGTGAAGATTCTTGAAGTATTATTCGTATTAATATAAAAATTTTATATTTTTATCTTATAAAAATATCTTATAAATTTTTATTTTTATTTATATATTAAAATAAAATTTTATAACATTTCGATAAAAAAATTAAAATATTACAATTTTTTTTGTTAAAATTTAATATTTTCATCAAATTCAATATAAAAACACACACAAAACCGTATATATAAAATCATCAAGATCACGTTAAATATTAAAATTTTAAAAATAATTTTTATTATATAATATGTATTTCTTTTAAAATTTTAGATATTACTTTTAAAGTAAAGTATTTAATTTTCGTTTAATTGATAATTACTTTGATTTAATTTGTAAAAGTTTATATTTAATTTATAATTTATTATTCATTTTGATTTAGAAATCTTAAAGTTTTAGTAAAAAAGAAATATGGTTATTTGGTATATTTCAAGCAAAGAATTTAGTTCTGCTAGTTATTTTTCTAAATATACCCACTTTTTTCTCTAGCTCTCCCCCGATGTGTTCAACATATAAGTGTTCTTTTTGCGTGGATTGGGTCATGAATCTGGGCAAATCTTGTCTGATTGGATTAAGCTTGAAAGCCTGTTGAGTCCATTGGAGTGACTAAAGTCCATCCATAGAAAATGAAACCAGGTAGGTATTAAGGAAAAGAGAAAGAAATGGAGTTCTCCCCCCTGATTTTTAATTTTAATTGACTGGGTTGGGTGTTTTTCTATTCTATTTCCTTATCATTTAATCCCATTAACCTTTGAATCTTTCCCCTAATTGCCTAACTTCCCATTAAAAGCTCTCTCCTTTTGAGTCCACCCTTCCCAAAAATATTAGCAAAAAAAAAACACTGATTCATTCAATTCCTTCAATTCTCAGGTTAGGTTTTTTTTTTTTCTTTAAATCTAATTCTTAGATGTTAAAATTTTCATTTTGTTTATAATTTTTGCGATCTTGGTTTTAGATTTTTTTTTTCTGGGTTTTTAGTTGATTATTTTCTGAATTTATATTAGGGATTTATTTTTTTGGACTAATCAAATTCTTGGGATTGGTTTATGACTGACGTCGTTTATGGGATAATTTCATGAACTATTCAAAAAGATTCGATTTTTAGGGATTTTTATCGTTATGTGATTAGTTGCATATCAAATTTTCTAGGGTTTTTAAAAAAATTGGGACTTGGGTTTGGAGCTGAGCTTATTTGGTTGATTGAAAGTGGAGGTTTTGATTCCATAACTTGAATCTTGGATTTCTTATTTTACCTTTTTCATTGTGTATTTTCCTCATGATTATTTATTTATGATTCTGTTGATTATTGTATTAGATATACAAGGAATGGCGAGTGGTTTTGGGGAACCAACAAGCATACCACCCCCAAGTCCGTCTTGCTCGGGTAGTAATAATGCTAATGATGCTGGTGATTTTGAATGCAATATTTGCTTCGAATTAGCTCAAGACCCAGTTGTCACTCTTTGTGGTCATCTCTTCTGTTGGCCATGCCTGTACAGATGGTTGCACCATCATTCGCATTGTCAAGAATGCCCGGTTTGCAAGGCCCTCATACAAGAGGAAAAACTCGTTCCTCTCTATGGCAGGGGCAAAAACCAGACTGATCCGCGATCAAAATCATATCCGGGCATGGAAATCCCAAACCGCCCTGCTGGGCAAAGACCGGCAACCGCTCCTCCCCCGGAAACAAATCAGTTTGCCAATTATGGGTTTGGACTAATGGGGGGTTTTGTTCCAATGGCAACTGCTAGGATTGGTAACTTTACGATGGGTTTTGGAGGCCTATTGCCATCTTTGTTTAATATTCAGTTTCATGGATTTCCAGATGCTACTGTGTATGGAACAACTTCAGGATTCCCTTATGGGTTCAATACAGTTCATAGTGGTCATGCTCAAGGGTTTCCCCGGCCAACAACTCGAGGACGGCAGGCAGACAATGTTTTGAAGAATCTTCTTTTGTTCGTTGGGTTCTTTGTGGTCCTTGCTCTGCTTTGTTGGTGAAATAGTTTGACATTTAAGCTCAGCCGGTGCTGGTTATTTAGTTTCTGTGCCTGTAAAAATGCATACTGGGTTGGCAATTATGTTTTGGCTTGGGAAAAGTTGTCTATATGATACTTTGTCATTTTTGTCTCATTTAGCATCAGCAACAACTTGTCTTAATTTCTCTTTCTGAAACAAAAACTAGTGAAGGTTTTTTTCTTATACACGGAGACATTGTGTTGATTGCTTGGTCCGCAGTTCCGTAGCTGTTTGCTAGTAATATATAATCACAACGAGCATTTGAAGTGATTGTGCATAACCTGTTATACTCTTGGAAAACTAGTTCATCCTCTTTAAGTGAAAATCAGATGTTGTAGGTGGATGCTAAAGTGTATCCAGCATCTTGTCCGATAACCGAGTTGGAAACAGGTGACCTTCCAGAGAACGTTGTTGTCAATGATGCGGAGAATAACATTTTTTTATGTTGGTGATTTTTAAAGTTGCCAAATTGTTTTCTCCTTTGGCTATTGTCCACATATGTTGTTGCACTGACCATTTTCATTATTATTATTATTATTAGTATTTTTTGTCTTTTGATGGCTTCGCCTTTGAAATACCTTTTTGATAATGGAAACTTCCGCCACATTAGTGGATTTATTTACTAGTAGTCTGAGATAATTATCAAGTTACGTGATCAGGTAATTTATCAAATCAAATCCTTATGTTGAGGCATTATTAAATTATCCTTTGGTGTCAATCATGTCAGGATCATCAAAAGGAACAGCTGTTTTTTTTATGTAATCCAATTATCGGACATCTTTGAGTGGACAGTATAGGTGTTGGACATGGCTGTATGCCTCCCATACGCCAATTATTGGACAGCCTGGATTCATTAGATAACCATATTGGCAATGAGTTTGTGTCTAACACTCAAAGCTGTGGTTTTTATTCACTTTCAAAGAAACAGTGGACGTCGTCTATAGAACCCATCATCTAACAAACATCGACCAATAGGCTCGAATTGGGCTGTATGTAAAAACAATACTGGGTTTTATTAACTGGTAACATTTTTGCTGCTTGTAAGTATATCCCAGCCCAAAAATGTTTCAAAGTTGTGCTGTATGCGCTGCTTGTAGCTGTCTGCAACAGTTCCATGTTCATCAAAGCTAGGTGTCTCCCCTTGAATTTTGGCGCTATGATTCTATTCTTTTTACTCAAATTTTAGTACTCGAAAATTCTCAGAATAAGCATTTGCTTTCAAATTTGTAACTAGTTTTCAAATATCTAGTTTCTTTTCAGTTTCAGCCACAATTTTGTTTGTTGAATCATTGCATGGATGGTTCCGATGTTAGCACTTAGGAGACAGTACGTTTTTCCACATGGTAGGGCAGGGAATACGTAATAGCTAGCTAGCTCAGTTGATTCGTTAATCGAACAATGGCCATGGAAATAGTAATTCCTGAAACATATTTATTGTCGTTCCAAGTACGACGAAATTGAAATCTTAATAAAGTTGTCCTTTGAAACACTGATTCAGCACGTAGCTTCAACGCCAAAGGATTACTACTTGCACTAGGATTTATTTCTTAGATTCACTGTCTAGATTTCCATTGCCGTGGCCCGTGGTTGACAAGTTCGTCTCATGCTCGATCCCGCAATTTACAGAAAAGTACTTCCTCCAACCACAGGGTGGATATGACTAAATTCTGTAACTAGCATAGTAAGTGGTCTCTTTCCCCTGTCAAAGGATTGACCATAAGTTCTCAACTTCAGCCTTCACGTCAATGGCAGCCTGGAAAAGCATCTCTTGGTACTTCCTTTTGAAAAAAAATCTTCACTCGTAACATCGTAGACGTTAAAATTTAAACATTAAATTTAACGAATATTATTTTTTAAAAATAATTATATAAATTAATTTAATTAAATTTAAGTTATAACATTTCCCTTTTTACTTGAGATTAATCTTCCTTTATCTATACCCATAGTTTTTCTGGAAAACCTACAGCCTATAGGACAAGGTTTGTCTTGAGTGGTGACTCAGAAATAAAATGAAAGTATAAATAGTATCATTTAAGATTCAAAAACTGAGTTCCGACACAAAATTTGACAAACAAGTAAGCCAGTTCACATTGGATTAGAAATTTCAATTCATATTCCGTGCCTCACTAAAATCGTGTCAAAAACAAATAGCAAGGACGGGGGATTTTGAACAAATGCTTGGGGACAGCTCTGCACAACTTGTTCCCACACTGTACGTGGTTCAATTCGAGCCCTTCCTTTTGACTTTGGTTGTACGGTGTTTCTTCTTGAACTTTGTTTAAGGGGGCCCTATACCATATTTATTGTGCTTCCTGTCTGCAGTAAGTTTTTGAATGGAAAATTCGTTCAAATGGACTGTATCAGTCATTCAAATGAATTTTCTATAAATATTAAAGCTGAAAAGTTATAAAAAACTTTGTTTATAGATGACATATTCACATTAGTTAATGCTATTTTAATACTATACATTGCAAAACATATAAATTATTATACAAAATGTAAACCTCTATGAAACATACGAGTCAGCTAACCGAGTATATGACAATTGTAATGTCAATAACTAGCAAACAGACAAAGCTAGCTTGAGACTTGAGACTATGGATATTGCCGATTGAAGCTGACTTTTTACTATCTGCGGTCGGTGAATCGTACAGTGGGAGTCGGTGATAAATCGTACAGTGGGAGTCGGTGATATCACACATAAGATCGTGTAAAGCCATAGTAAAAAAAAAAAAAAATTTATTTGTGTTAGTAGAATTATATTTAAGCATTTCAATGGTTGATAGCTTTTTTTTTTTTTTTTTCAGACAGTTAGATTTTGAAAATTTCAAATTTCTCCCAAAAAAAAATTGTTAATAACATTTAATTTTCAAATTTAAACAGTAATACCGATGCCAACAGTAAAAAAATAAATTAATATCAAAATAATATCAAAATAATCCACAATCGAACATTAATTAATTTTTACATTGTATATTTGTGAATATTTACATTTAATTTGTAAAATATAATTTATTTTAATTTAAAGATTTTATGCTTTTATTTTTTTTAAAATATCTTTTCACAAATTTAAATTTAAATATTTTAATAAATTTTTTAAAATATTTGAATATGATATTAAAATATTACATCATTAATTAAGAGGACTGGGGTCAGGTATCCCTTATAATTGGAAGGAGTAGGGAGTACAGTGGAGTTTGTCATGTATAGCACATGTTGTGCCTTTGGTTTAAACGTTTTGCTTTATTTTAACTTTAATAATTGAATGGGATGAAGCGTGTATTTCCCATCATTTTTGTTGACAAGAGCAAATAACTTACATGGAGAGCATGTGAGGTACACATGCATATGCTATTCAATGATATAGTTTCCTTTTGTCCATTTCATTTGTACGTGAATTTGGATGATTATCACGAAAGAAACCACCTCATAGCTTTGATTAAATAGCTTTAGGATCCACTTGAAAAGAGAGAAGAAATGAGTTTTGAATATGTTGAATTAATGAAAAGAGTGATAGGATTGAATTGCATAAATATATATATTTTAACTTATAATATTTTAATTTAATTGATTTATACAATTATTTTTAAAAACAATATGAAACAAATTTTAGTATCTGTAATTCATTTTCTATCTTTGTGTATAAAAATAATTGTGTGAAGCAATCTATTTTAAGGAGGTAGAAATTTTAAAGTGGCATAATGTAATTGGTTTACTAGAAAGCTTAGAATAAATTAAAGCTTAATTAAAGATAAGCATATAATGAAATCAAAGCCGTTTTCTTATTCTTAACCCAATAATGTAAGCTCATGCTTAACCAATAGGTTTTAAATTAATAATTCTCTTTTTGAGGTATAAAATGATTTATAATTTGGGTATCATCAACAAATTCGTAAATGAACTCGAATTTTAATTCAGTTAGTTCATATAATTATCTTTAAAAAATAATATTTAGTATATATAGAATTCAAATAATAGTATTTGCACTATTTTTTCTTAAATTATAGCTTCTTGTATATAAAAAACTAATGCATAAACTATTTTAAAGCAATGATATTTTTTAAGATTCATTATTTTCAAAGTAATTATTTTATACTATATTTAAACATATTGATGAGAGTGAGAGTGACGATATGTCTTGGTAAATTAAATGTAGTCAAGAAATAACAAGTTGAGCTAATTACATGAATAAGTTGCATTTTAACTCATATAACTATTTTCTCGAATAGGCTTATTATGTCATATATAGTTTGGATTTGAAGAAGAAGCAAAGAGAGGAAAGAAGGGTATGTTGGCAATTTTGGGGTTTGAGAGAGAGAGATGAAACTAGTTAAAATTTAGGAAGATCGGGTTTGGATTGGATCGATCATTGTCCTTACGACAAGTTATGATTTTTTTTTTATCATTCTATATCATGCAAAGGAAAAAGAAAAATTTTATTATAGAAGATGGAGGATCAAAATCTATAAACAAACTAGAAGTGATTTTCATTTTTCATATCAACAAGAAGGAAGCAAATTAATGTTAGGTCACATATTTTTGACACAATCACAAGTTAGACAAGGAGAGGTCAGGGCAAAATATGTATGTAGTTAGAGAAGCACTCTCCACCAATTTCTAGTTTCCATGTCCCTATCTCTTTATTAAGACAATAAACTTTCCGCCAATGGGACCAAAAATTTTTCTCCTTAATAACTATCGTCTTGCTTAGGTGGCACTTAATAGGCCCACCCATTACAGCCATGTGGCATTATCACGTGTGTATATATATATATATATATATAGTATAAAATAGATTATTTTGAAAATAAAAAAGAAATCGTAAGTGTGTAAAATTTAAAGTTTAAATTTATTGAATATTATTTTTTAAAATGATAAAATAAATAAAAATAATATTAAATGTTTGAATTAGAAAAAAAAAAAATTAGGGAAGATTTTTCCGTATTATAAAGTGACAAGACCCAAATAAGGCAATGAAATTGAAGAAGTTAAATGAGGAAAATGAATGGTTGGAGGATGCAGCAAAGGTGATAACAATATTGACATGCTTTATTGCTTTTATTGTTCCACCGAGCAAGCAAAGCCTTCGATTGAAGGCAAAACAAATGCTGTGCTGGAGCTTTCTTAAACGCGGATTGCTCAACCAAATCGTTGATATGTCATTGTAAGATGTTGCAATTCAATTTTTTGGAGGACAATCCAAGTTAAACAATCTGTCCTTTGTTAGTTTCCCATAATTGACATTCATTTCAATTGCAGTAAAAGCTAATTTTAAGGTACTTTCTTGTCTACGCGTTGCCAATTCTCAAAGTTACCATCTTGAATATTATATTCATGTGGGGTGAGAGTTTCCATTTTTTATTATAAAGGAAAGGAGAATGAGAGAGCAAATTTAAAAATGGAAGAAAGAAATGTGAAGCAAAGACTTAGAATCGGTAAAATTAAAAAAATAATAAAATTAATTATAATTATGATTGAAAAATAAATTATTATAATTGTAATTAAAAAAATTTATAAAAAAATTTATATTAAATAAATTTTACAAAAATTAATATTTAAATTCGTAAGCTCAAATATACTTTACTGAAAATACCGTGGAATCCGAAACCCCCGTTTAATTTAATTGGCTCAAAAGCCTTTTGCGTTGGCTTCCTGGGAGCAATTCAGCACCATTTGTCAGCCAACGTGGGTTAAAAGACAAAGGGGGTTGAAATCATTGATGTGTCCCCTCCTCCAATGTAAAAGGATTAAACCACAATCTAATTCTTCAAACTGTTTATAATTTTTATGTCCTTTGCCTTCCCACCAAGAAAATGCATCATCTCCACCGACACAACCACCGCATTCTCCTCCTCTTCTTCCTCATCTCCGCCACCAATGCTGCCCCTGCCTCCGCAACTACCACTAATTATCAAAGATTCAAAGAAGCTCCACAGTTTTATAACTCTCCAACATGCCCTTCTATTGACACAAGTGGCACCAATGTAATGTGCTCCGATCAAGCTATTCATGTGGCAATGACCCTAGATGCAGCCTACTTACGTGGCTCTATGGCCGCCATTTTATCCGTCCTCCAGCACTCTTCTTGCCCTCAGAACATCGTCTTCCACTTCATTGCCTCTGCCACCAACAACAACCACCACCTCCGCCATACAATCTCCCGCTCTTTCCCTTCCCTCAAATTCCAAATCTACCCATACGACTCGTCCGCAGTCTCAGGCCTAATTTCCACCTCCATCCGCTCTGCACTCGACTGCCCTCTCAACTACGCCCGAAACTACCTCGCCAACCTCCTCCCTCCATGTCTCAGCCGAGTCGTTTACTTGGACTCCGACCTCGTCCTCGTCGATGACATCGCTAAACTTGCCGCAACCCCACTTGGAGACCACTCGGCCCTAGCTGCTCCCGAGTATTGCAACGCCAACTTCACTTCCTACTTCACCCCAACCTTCTGGTCAAACCCTACGTTATCTTTAACATTTGCTGGACGCAAAGCTTGTTATTTCAACACTGGGGTAATGGTGATAGACTTGCAAAGATGGCGTGCAGGAGATTACACTACAAAGATTATTGAATGGATGGAGCTTCAAAAGAGAATGAGGATCTACGAGTTAGGGTCTTTGCCACCATTCTTGCTTGTCTTTGCAGGGAACATAGCGCCTGTTGATCATAGATGGAACCAACATGGGCTCGGAGGAGATAATTATAGAGGATTATGTAGAGATTTGCATCCTGGTCCGGTTAGTTTGTTGCATTGGAGTGGGAAAGGGAAGCCATGGGTGAGACTAGATGCTAACAAGCCTTGTCCTTTGGATGCTTTATGGGCTCCTTATGATTTGCTGCAAACACCCTTTGCTTTGGACTCTTAGAATTTTCGTATGTCATTTTCTATAATAAATCCCTTTTTTCTTTGGTGGGGTCTTTAACTCTTTTCCCTTTCTGGGCTGAGATTTTAGGTTCAATGATGCCATAGAACTTAGGAGAATAGAGATCTGAGTGTAAAATTAATATCTTTCTCTTGCAGCTATGGTGATAAGTGTGGGGAGGTGTTCATAGATTATATAGCAGAGCATTAACAATCTTACTGCAATCTTCTTTTTTTTTTTTCTAATCCATGTATCTGAGAACAGTATATAACACAGTTACAACTACTGTAAAGAAGAGAAACAAGATCAAAATATTTTCAATTGTCATGTTCATCTTCCCCTTTTCCCTTTTTCTTTTATCTGTTGAATTGCTTGACATAATCGCCTCAATATTTCATCTTTTTCTGATAATAATTTGCAAACATCCCAGGCACTGATTATGAAAATTTGAAAACTATGATGTTGGTGCAATGTCTGGTCTAATTGAACTGTACCTTATTTTACTCCACAATTTAAGACAGTTTGAATTAAATCGACTGCAGTAAATGATTTCCATTTTTTTACCTATATGTATCATCATCAATTTTTCTCACAGTTTCTATATTTGAAGAGGAAGCTTTAGTTTATAATAGTGAAGTCACAACTATAGCAAGAAATCATGTACTATTGTATAACTTTAGCTTTATGATTTTCGTATGCTTTTCTCTCCTTTTCTTTTGGTGTCTATTGTCTTGCCAAAGCTAAACATTTAACTTTGATAATTTGACCAAAATGATGGTGATTGATGGGATATTCCCTACCAAAGTCATTCCATAAATCTCTATTTACACCGCAAATTAAGCTGATATTGTGAGCAAAATTTATGGGGTCCTTTAGTTTTTTTTTTTTTTCTTTGTTTTCCAATTGGCCTTTAATCACATGGGCGTGGCCTTGGGTTTGAATATATATTCTTAGTAATTTGGTGGCCAAATTACAGAGCAGAGAGTAGTCATGTATGACGTAGCGGCCTCCATTAGACTTTCAGTAACATGAAATCAGTACAGGATCTTTTGACAGCTAATGTTAATATAGTTCTATCTGAATTAGAGTTCACTAACCACCTATATTTGCAAAAAAAGCATAAGTTTACTGAATAATCTCTCTAATTTTAAACCCAAATAAGTCAATAATGTTCAAAATATTCTGTTTTTGTTCTTTCTGTCATTTTTTTAGTTTGTTTCAGACTCTGATTTTCCAAACAGCTACTGAAATATATGCTCCATTTGATCGTACGTACCCAAAAAAAAAAAATACTACTCTAATTGACTTCTAGCCAATAGTATCCTTGGAAACATGGTCAGTTGCCTTTTGTCACCGACCAAATATAATATTGATCTGTTCAATTCAATCTCCAGATGCAGAAGGAGAATTGAGTTTCTGATTATTTAATTACTTTGCCTACGGTTCATTGGTGTTTCAGCAATGGAGTTAGAGGTCAACTCTTTGGGATTTATAAATTCTCAGTGACAGACACACAGTCAACTTATCAAGCTGTATGTATACATAACAAAATATGAAAAAGGAAGGCGTTACATATAATATGTATCTTAATCATTATTGGCCTGACTTCTATTGTTTTAATTTGGCTATAGGGTAACATGGAACAGACTGACATAAACTAACCAACCAACCAAAAACTTGAAGAGGAAAAGGAAAGTTGAATGAAAGGCAAAGACCAATTGCCTAAAAAGGGTAAATTAGCTATTATGAAAAGAAGGAAACATTGAACCCGAACTTAACTCAATTTGTTCATCCTTAAGAAATAACATTTAGCAGAAGGTTTTAAATTCAAGTTTCAGTACTTGTCATTCTTTGTCCTATTCTCGGACCGCAACCTCATTAGTAAAAGGAAATATTTCATCATTTATTTTTTAAGGAATGTCTTAAATAAACTGTCATAGTAATTCTCTAATTTTCAGTGAAGTCAAGGAGTAAGTGAAATCTTAGGTAACATTAATTTGAATATTATGTATAAAACTGAAATCCTGTCTCATTGACAGGTGCTTCCATGTGAGAAGAAAATGAGAGAATCTTGGAATATGGAGAGGGCAAAGCAGAAGCCATGACAACTCATTAAATGAACTACCAATGATCAAAATATTCAATTTCGAAGGAGTATGGTTGCATTTTATTTTTCTAGAGAAACAAGGCTTTCGAATTCTATAGGTTTATGTTTATCAAAATAACATTGTTATTGGGCATCTTAATCTTAAAGATTCCAACACATGTGATAAGTTGGTGCCATGGTGGTTAGCATCCCGTGATGGGTTTCAGTCTCAAGACTCCAGAGTCATTGCTAGAATGATAAGATCAATTAGCTAGGGTGGCAATATCTTTTTTGGGGAGCCAATGGGGCACTATATAATTTGTGGTAGACTATAAATTATTAGGTTTAATACTCGTTTAAGAATTGTTTGATGTTGATGCTTCAGCTGGACCAGTGTCTTCTTCTTCCCACTACCCTGTTGCACCCCTCATTGACTTTATATCGATGTTATTCAACCAATCTTTCAAGAGAAAAAGCCAAAAAAAAAAAAGGTTAAGCATTTTAAACTTTTGAAACATCAATGCAGGCACAAAACCGAAGGATTAGATATAATTCTCATTGTTTTAACTTCACTCCAGGTGAAGTTAGATGACTGCATTTCCAAGCAATGCCTAGGATAGGGATAGCTGCAATTAAAAACTTGCCTCTAAGCTTTTTTTGGCCCATGTAAATTATAAATGCCAATTCCCCACTTGTCTGTCAATACCAGATTTGTGTATGATCGTTTGCCAATATTCTTAAGAGAAAGAACAGGACAAGAAAATATTTTTGACTTGTTTTTAATGTTGCTATGTTAATCTTTTAAATTTTTTTTGTTATTTTAGAAATTAAGAGCAATAGATTAATATATTTAATCAGCTTTTGGATTATATTGTTGAAATTAGGGTTGTGACTTGTGAGAATTGGAAGTTCTTTTCTATGGCTCAAGTAAACATATGGGGAGCTGACAAATTGGTAAGAAAACAAAAAAAATAAATAAATAAATAAACCCATTTGATGGCCAAACTTAGCAGATCAGCTGATAAAAGATGACTAAATAAGGTTGTTAATTGACTAATCAAAAACACCAAAAAGAAAAGAAAAAAATTTAATTTGCAGATTGAAACAGGTCTTCCTACAGAAACATAAGCTTATACTACTACAATGTACTCTAGCAAGGAAGGTGGGGGGTAGTTCTGCTCTAAAGATTTGGGACATTTAGCTAATATGGCCATCCACAATCAAGGCTCAGCTTCTTTACTTGCTTCCATGTTGTCTCCATAATCTTCCGATTTATCTGTCACTCTGGAAAATTTGTAATAAATGTACTGCAATATGATCTGTTATTAGGAATGTCAAGGCTTAATGTCAGAGTAAGCAAGCAATAATCATTAAATTATTGAATGTCTACGTGAGAAATTAACAAAAAGGATACAAATAAGTCTAGCGCCACGCAAACTGCAGCATCCAGCAACCATGGCATATTAGCCTTAATGTTTTCCCATTCAGTGGTTCTCACTAGAATGCTGTGCAAACATTCAAAGAAAAGCTTGAGATAAGCCCAATCGCTGCAGAATCAAGTAAAACAAATGGACAAAGTCTGAGACAGAGCTAACCTTGCCACGTAAGTAGCATTAGCTATCATGGCAAAGATGAACATGAGAGGATTCAAGCCCTGCTTGGTTTCCAGACATTTAGCCAATTCAATCCACATATTTTAGAAGAAATAAAAATATATAGTTAAGAGTATTACCTCCACACTGCCTCTTTTGATCTGATCAACATAAAACCAATGGCTTTAATAAGGGAATCAGAAAAGTTATGATGAGAAAGAAATCAGTGTTTCCTTAATTTAGCTCAAATGCTTACATTTAACCATATCTGAGGGATTCGGCCTCCCATGTATATGGCAGCCATTAGCCATCCCAGCCATTGCCCAAAGGCACTGTGCTTCATAGTGTGTCCCTGTGACAGAGACCAATGATTTAAGTAATTTGCAGTTGCATGGGCCAATCTTTGTTGAATTTGAGTTAGAATTAACCAGGAATGGTACCTGTAATAATCTTCTATTGGTAAAACCAGTTCTTACTTCCATCCAAGCCTTACTTCCGAGGGGCAAGTTGACCGAGGCAGCTAGAAATGTACCATAACTTGCAGCCTGAAGATTACAGAGAAAAAAAAAGAAATTTACATCGATATCGATGTTATTCAACCAATGCTTCAAGAGAAAAAGAAAAAATGTCTAGCATTTTAAACTTTTGAAACATCAATGTAAGCAAAAAACCAAAGGATAAGATATAATTCTCATTGTTTTAGCTAGCTTCAAAGTCATTTAGCAAGTTCAAGACTCACTGCTCTTGGGATTGGCCTAGGTCGAGTAACGGACTTTTTGGATGAAACTATAGCTGCTTCATCTTCTGATGATGAGTCACTGTCAAGTTCCATAGCTGAAGGACCACTTTTAGCTACCCTCATATATGTTCGAAATGGTGGAGTGCCACTGCTAGCCAAAGATCTAGCTGACCTGAAATAATGTAATATTGTAACAGTAATGTCTTAGAGGAATTAACTTTGGAATAAAATAATGAAAAAAAATGTACAACAAAAAGTGACTTAGAAGTATAATACGTGTAGTAATACTCCCTGCGAGGATTGGGTTTTGATGAGGCCTTAGGTATGGGAATGCCTGCATCAGGTTTGCCAGGCTTCAAGGGTTTGTTCTCATCCTCAACCTAACATTACATAAAACATATTGGTGAAACTATAACCATTCATGATATGCAATAAAATTATTTGAAACGCCAGAATGTTCAAGTAAGGTATGTACCATGTTGTCAGTTTTGATCCGTCTACATTTCCACCACTTGTAGATATAATCATAGTATACACCTTGCAATACTAGAACCACAGTACTCACTGTATAAAGCTGACAATAAAAACCAGGTAATTAGCTATTGATAAGTATTGTAGTTTCACACAAAATTAAAAATATGTGAGACAATTTTACAAGATCAACCAAGTTCATAAGTGAACACAAACTTTTAATATATATATATATATATGCATATATTAAAAAAAATTTAAAATTATTCGAATTTCAAACTATTCTCAAATTGCGTTTATATATATATATATATATATGTATATATAAATTTTGGTATGGGGATATTTGTCCTGCAAAGTGGATTTAGAACTTATTGCTAGCGGTTGGCAGAGAGGCTTGGGTTCTTCTATATGGAAATCGGGCTGATATTTGAAAGGCTCAATGCAACCCCAAATGTGGGTTGTTAGTAGAGTGGGGCATGGGACAACTTGAAAAAGAAACCCATGATGTTAATTTGGGCCACTTCACTTTGACCCATACTGTTCCTCAAGAATGGTCCTCAATTGCAATTATAAATAGAAGGGTTCATTATGAAGTGAAACATGTAAATATAGACAGAAGGCGTCATAATAAGTACCAGAGCTGTGAAGAACTGAGTCGGCAACTGCATCCACACAAAATTTAAGAATGAAAAATCAGTAAGGCTTGTGGAATATAGATATCAAGGAAATTGAAAGATAGCATTTTTGTTGATAAAAACAAAGGCCTGTTTTAATCTGAGCCAACCAAAATTTTGAACCGGCTTCAGGTTTTTGGACCACCAAAGAGACAGTAATAGTATCTATGGCTCTCGTGATTCAATTCACCAAGGCCTGAAAAAAAAAAAAAACTCACTGTTGCAGGTTCTAGAAGACATCCAACAAGATTGAACACATCTCTGCAAAAAATAGTGAAGAACAATACATAAGCATAAGTATAACAGGAAACTGAACATTCTTTGGTTCAATAAAAAACTGAAAAGAAAAAAAAAGAGGTTGTTTTCATGTCTTTTGGGGGAGAAGAAATCGAACCCAGCAATCCAAGTAAGGAGAAAAAGAAGGGAAACTCCATGGCTGGACTTGGTTTTGAAGTTGGTGATGATTTGAGGGATCTCCGCAACTCCCCAGCAGACTAGACTAGCTAACCCAAAAGCAAAAGAGAAATCATCATTCAGATTGCAAAGACAGTCTTCGAAGTATCTCTTAACCCAGCGAACGCAGGGCTTTTTTTCCTTTACACAATAAGCTTGAGACATAGCCAAATTTCTCTTCTCTTCCTCTCATAGACAAAAGACTGATACACTTTTTAAGTTGGTGGGTTCTGTTTTGCGGAAAGAAGAGCCTTTATATACAAAATACAAAAAAATGGTGCAACTGTGGGTTTTTATTATTAAGAAAATACCTTTTTTTTTTATTTAAAGGAAAGTAAATGCTCGTACAAGGAAAAAAAAAGATGATAAAGTTAGAATTTACACTAAACGTATCTTTTTTAAAGTTTTTTAATCATTAAATCAAGAGATATGAAAGATAGGTAAAACCTAATTACCAAATACGACGAGGTATCTATCATTATTGTTTTGTCCTTTTGTGAGTCAATTGTGAAGGGACTTCAACTTTATCTTACGCATATTCTGAACCTTGATGCTTTCATTCGTTTCAAGTTTCAACTTACAAAGTGAAAACCCAAAGTTAAATTTCATGCATGAATCCTATATGACCACATATTCCTGTCAAAGATGCATGTAAATCCTCAGCTGACGGTCCAAATTCACTAGAAGTTTATTACAGAAAAATGAGAATGACTGATACGTCAGAATGTGATGACATTTTTATGTAATTGGAACTTGGAAGTTTATATATTTCCATATATTTCCCTTCTTTTTGCATCTTGATTCTTGACATTTTATTTGCAATAAATTGTAAGATCCAGAGCTTTGATTGTTATGATTTTGACCCTTATTTCCAAGAAATCTGCATCGATATGCTGCCAAAAGTTTTCAATAGACTTGGCTCTTAAGAAGCATTAATGAAGAGTAATACAAGGCTTGATGACTCAATTAAAAAAGCAATGTTTGCTTTAAAAAAATTGATTTGATATGCCTTTTCTGATGACTCAACAAGTAATTACTGCAAACTAGTGAGATGGACTATAGTTGTATTTCTCACTTTCACTTCTTTACAGTTTCACTCTCCTTCTCTCCAGGCATGTCCCCATGAACCAAACCCATTATTCTGGCCATGTTCAAAGATGCAAATCTGACAAGACAACATTAATTTCATTGTCTTACTCACTTGAACAAGGCCCCAACATCATCCAGGTTCATTCCAGGATAACCAAATTTAAGGAAACAAAACAGTGTTTCAGTTCAGGGTGATGAATCGTGATATTTTCATGAGGGCCGAACTGCTAATAAGCAAAGTCGAGTTGCCCCTTACAATAATTGTCACAGCAACCAAAGATGACGTGTCAGATATAACTGGAATCTTCGTTCTGATCTAAAAAAAAAAGCCACAACAAGAAGCATGTCTTAATCCTTAAACAGAGAGAAAGCGACAGAAACGGCTGCGGTCCGCTGCAACATGTGGAACGCTAATAAATTACGCGTGGCTTAATATTTTTTTCGTTTGCCAGTCCTCACGTCTATCCTTCCTGGTGTTGGGTCGATGAGGCTTTCAATTCTATGTGCAACCCCCAGGCAGGGTGGCTAGTGGGGGCTTTTCTATCTCAGTTGTCAACTACAAGTTCAAGTCGTTGTCAATTTCCACTATAAAATTCAACAATAGTTGCAAGTAATTTAAGCAGTAAATTGCACCCATCTTCATATAATATTTTATTTTTATTGATGATTTTTAATTTTTAAAATAAATTGTCTGTTTAATTATTTATTTTTATATCTAATTAATAACAAATTAAGTTTTAATCAATATTATTTATGAAATTATTTTTTTGTTATTTAGTCATTAAAAACTAAGAACGTACAAATATAACATTGATAAGTCATCTATCAAATGCTACATAACATTTTCAGGTTAGTTAATATCAAATATGGCTCCTGATATATGAGTATCTCGTTAATCTCTAACGATTAAGTGATAAAAAAAATTCATAAATGTTAATGATTAAATCATAAATTTTCATAATTAAGTAACTAAATTAAAAACACACAAAAATATTAGTGTCCAATCTTTTAATTTTTAAAATCATGATATTTTAAAAATATTTTATATTGGCTTATTTAATAAATTATTGTTAAAATATGGTCAAATTTGTCACCTTAACACCACTCGAACATCCATATCAATAGTTATGAAAAAAAATCATCAATTTGATTTGTGAATTGAAATTCATGTCACATAAAACGTCTAATTTGATATTGATTTGGTGCATTTTTATCGTTTTGTTGAAAAAAATGAGTGGATTTGGAATTCTTTTTAAAAAGTTGTGAATTCAAAAATTAAATTTTTAGACATTGTTTATTAAAATAGAATATTACACAAAAAATCATAGATAATTGATGAAATTTAGAAATAAAAAATCAACAAGATTGAACATCTTTTCAAACATTAAGTTACTATGGCTTAATCAAAATTTATGCCTAGCTCTTTAAAAAAAAAAATTTTTTGGGAAATTAATATAACTATTTATGTAAATTAACTTGTCAATTAGTCTTAAATTGTGGAAACACAAATTTTTGGCTACGATTGAAGTTCAAATTTGAGACCTTTAGTTCTGGAATCGACTCTAAACTATCAATTACAATTAATTGGTAGGGTATTTTATTTTTTTGATAAGGTTTTTATTTGAAAGTGAATGGCTATCTTTTTAATAATTTGGGACTGATATAATTAACTTGTTACTAGTTAGTATTATTTTCAAATTTTAAGATTTTATTATAAAAGCATATATATTTTTGGATATGGTGTTAATTTCAACATGAATATTATTAAATATAATTATAAAATCTACATATTACTCAAGTAACATTTTAACTATTTAATATGCATGTCCATAGCTCAATAATTTTATTGGCTTTTTTTTTTGGTGTCCAATACCATATAAATTTTATGCTTTCTTTTCAACTTTAATGAATTTCCTTATTCTATTGTTAGTTTAAATTGAAATGATTATGATTTGAATTTTATTATTAAAATTACGAATTTAATATTTTATCAATAAATTACGTGACTGCTCATTATAAAATTTTTTTGAGTATAAATATCGATATCTTACTTGAAAGAGAAATAATTCTATTATTTTCTACTAATTAAGCAAAACAATTATTGATTGTTCCATTTTGACCTCACAATTATGCCCGTAATTAATGTTTAGTATGAATATGTAAAATTAATTTAGTATAGCATCCGAATATTTGATTCAAATGTTGATACACTGTCATTTATTTATTTGAAAAACAAGATTTAAAATTTATTTTGTGAAATTAAAAAAAAAGTATAGACTATAGACAGGCCTTTTCTTTTTTTGACAGTATAAAATTCTTTCTTTGATTAGTTTTCCAATTTTTTTTTCTTCAGAGTAGTAATTAAAGATTAATTACATTCTCATTAATTTATTGTCTTTTAGCTGAAACTAAGCAAGAAAGAAAGGACACTGAGAATTGCTAGAAAGAAAGGAAAATGATAATTGCTAGACAGGAGGGTAGGCAGGCGGGCAGGAAATTAATCATCTTGGCAAAATAGAAAAAAATAATGACTTTTTTTTTTTTTTTTATGCAAACGACTGTTTCCTACCTTCTTCATCTTGAATCATGTTAACTCTCTTTCGTTACGATGGCGACCTCTTGCCTTTTTTTTTATTGTTTTCTTGTGGAAAAAGAAAGCCTTTTTTTTCTTTGGCAGTGGTCCAGCATGTTCTGCCAGAAATTTCTCATTCATTCATTGAAAGTGAAAATTTTAATTCTCATTTCTTTTTTTTTATCTAATATTTTTCTTGGACCTTATCCTTTATCTCGACAATCTCCAAGATACGTTCTTCCACGTTGACCTAGTTTTTTTAGGATTTTATTCTTGAAGTTCTTTTTTTTTTAATAAAAATTGAACTTGACAGACTAAGACTTCTCACTTGCATTATTAAGGGTTAATATGTAATTTGACCCTTGAATTATATCATTTTCACGATTTGATATTTATAAAAATATTTTACAATTTGATACTTTAATTTTGTTTCCGTCAAACATATTACCTAACAATTTTAATTAAAATGATAATGTGATAGATATTGGTCAAAAAAATCATTTTAAAATTTTATTCATTAATTTTTTTACCACGTCAACATATTATTAATGAAGTTTATGTCTTAATTAAAATGATAATATAATAAATATTGATCAATAAAAATATATTAAATTTCATGATTTTATTCATTAAATTTTTATCACTTCAACATATTATTATTGCAGAGCTAAGATATCAAAACATAAATTTTGTCTATAGTTGTAGGTATGAAATCTTAAAAATTAATATATTTCAAGGGTCAAAATATATGTTAACGCAGTTATTAACCTTGATTGAAAAAAAGTTACCGATGGTGCATCCAAACATTTAACTCAATTAATTAATGATTTGGCCAAAAAAAACTCAATTAATTAATGCATAATCTCACTCAAAGATCAGATTTCGAACCATCAATTTCCCTAAATCAAAACCTTCAGCTACAAGTCTTTTCTGGCAGGCCTGGTGGTCCGTTAGCTGTCTCAACTTAGTATTAAGCCCAATAGCTCACTTCCCATACGTAGAACTAAACAAAGGGGGTGATCTGCTCATCAGAACAGTGTTCCAGCCCACTTTACAAAACTACCCAATGTTAATTTCGCTTTCTCTGGTCGACGTTTGAAACCGGCTCCACAAGTACGGTTCCAATTCGGTTCCCAGAACCGGTTAGGTTAGTCTGCAACTTCAGGATGTTGAAAACTTTTTCACTAGGCAAATGATGTTGATCTTAGGGTTTGAGATTTGGGATGGTGTCATATACTTACTAATTTAAAATATGAAATGATAAAATAAAATAGATAAAATATAAAAAAAATGAATAATTTAAAATTTTAATAATAATTATATATGAGTTTAATAAAATAAAAAAATATTTTATATTTTTATGTTGACATAAATTATAATACAAAAATTTTATATAAATTATGATATGAATATATAAATTTTAATATTTTATATAATACAAATATAAAAATTACCAGATTTAAATGATAATATATTATATATATATATATACATACACACGTGTGAATGTAGGCATAGTTTTAGAAGAAGAAAAGAATATATATTTGAATTCAACTCTCTTTTCATATTAAGATTTAGGGCCCAAACATAAAATGCTCATATTCTCTATATATAATAATACATTTTTTATTATAAAAATTCAAATCCAATTTTTGAAAGAAAAAAAATATATTTATGGTCAAATGAAATATTAATTCGTGAGAGTTTAAGATTACAAGAGTAAAATAAACATATGTGCATTTCGTGTTAGGCATGCAACAGCTAGTTTCTTGTTCCAAGAGCCAAATAACGAGTCCATAAGCCTAATTTTCTCGTCCAAGAGCCTGTCTATACTTGAATGCATTAACTTGCCTAAAAATTTGTTAGGCAAAAGGATCAATTAATTATTGAAAACACCATTAACTCCAGTTATATACCTGTACAGTGAATAAAGGACAGGTCAATTAATTTTGGTTCCTTTTAGGAAGCTGCCATGCACTTTCCTTCCACCAACACCATTCTTTTATATCATCAATATTATTTCATCTTCTAGCGTTCTCCGCAATTTCTCTAAAGCATTTACCTTTGAAATTAACTAGATTTTTCACTTTTTTTTTTCAATATGGCAACAGCTAATGTTTCCAAGGCTTCCAAATGGTTCTCTAACAAGAGCCTTAGGTTAAGCCTTCATCGCCGTGGATCCAAGTCTAGCTCGAGCTTAAGCTCTCCTCGATCATCACCAACGCCTCCTCATGGTACGCCTAAAAGAAGCAAAAAGGAAGATGAGTTGAAAGAAGTCTTCCGATATTTCGATGGAGATGGTGATGGAAAAATCTCTGCCCTTGAACTTAGGGCTTACTTCGGATCCATTGGAGAGTACCTGTCACATGAAGATGCTCAAGGGGTGATCAATGATCTAGACTCGGACGGCGACAGCATGTTAGACTACCAAGATTTCTTGAAGCTAATGAAAAGAGAAGGCAGCGATGATGATCTGAAAGAAGCCTTTGAGATGTTTGAATTGGAGAAAGGTTCAGGTTGCATAACTCCCAAAGGGCTACAAAGGATGTTGAATCGACTTGGGGATGCAAAATCTTACGACGAGTGTGTTGCCATGATTCAGGCATATGATATTGATGGTAACGGAGTGCTTGATTTTTATGAGTTTCACCAAATGATGGCTTAATATATATTCACCCACTAAGATTTGGGACACTATTTAGTTGTGTTGGAACATTTCTTTGTATATTGTGTACCACTGTTGCACAGAATCTGTGCCCTTTTCCTCCCTTGAGCAAAAGCAAGTTTTGTGTTGAGAAATTTGGAAATTAATAAAGCATAATTTGGCTTTTGTAGAATATTCTTGATGATTTTTCTTCTCTTTGTTCTCGTTTTAAACTGATCTGAAAGAGTCCGATCAAGCCATCTGTAAAAACCCTTAAAGCTGAAGCAAAGTTTTGTCAATGCTACATCGGAAAAAAAGCAAGGCAAAGGCAGAGACCAGCATTATCTTCAATTTAACGTTAAGAAAGATAATGGACAAGCTTGTTGAGACCCCATCGATCTTTTTCTCTTTTTCATGAGGCAAAATAAGTAACTACTTGAGTCATGCTAATGGACAACCCGTGAGGCATCAAAGTGGCTTCATAACCCTGAAATTCAGTCAATTCCAATGGCATTTATTTTGAACTAAAATTTCGACCACAAAGGAAAACTAAATTTAATCAAATATCTGGACGGGTGCCAAACTGATGTGATCTGATCAGCAATAATGGTGAATCTGTAACTGCAAAAATTTATTTCCAACATTTATATGTCTTATGAATCTCATCCATAACCACAAGCTTCTAATATAGTTTTAATACCAATTGTTAGGTGAAAAAACGTGTAATCCAAATAAACAAGTAAATTAGTAAAAGTAAAAGGAAATAAATAATTAATTAATTAAATAAGAGATAATAATTTAATGTGCATAGTTTAACTCAATTAACTTATGTTTACAGATAAAAAAAAATCCACTAATTTATCTCTTTTAATTTTATAAAATATTTTTAATTTAAATAAATATATATTCATTTACATCCATATATTATATCTATATGAATTTTTTTATTCTCTTCTAATACACTTAAATATACTCACTTATAAAGACACTCTCAATCTTCCATGTATTATATTTATGTGAATTCTGTCATTTTTTTTTAGTTCACTCAAACATACACATTTAAAAAAATATTTTCAATCATCTTTAATTTTATGTGATATTTTCTTAGTATAATTTTATAACTTTATTATATTTTTTTATATAAACATAATCTTACGAAAACTTTATTTAATTATAAACATATTAATCTGTCTATTAATAAATTTTAATTTTTTGTTTTTTCATAAATTTTTTTATCTATTTAACAATATTTAATAAATCCTATTTTAAATAAATCTCTATTCAAATTTTTTATAAAATTTAAGTCAATCGCATCAACATATCCAAATAAACTATGTTGAACTTGAATCTGCTGATAATATATGGACTTTTTAACACAAGAGCCAATATGGGGTTTGATTATGAATACGAAGGAAATATGGGGTTTGATTAATAAAGTCGTTTACAAAAGTGTAGCAGTTTGCCAGTGAGAAGAAAATGACAGCATTGTCCTATGATTTTTCAAACTGCAACTTTTAAATGCCCATGGGTTGTCCATGTGCAGATCTTGACTAGTGGAATTAATTTCCTTTTGTTTGGAAGTTTGGGAGACCTTGACTTTTAATATTGTCTTTGTCAACTATAATTTTTAAAAAAATTATTCAAATTCACAAAAAAAAAAAAAATCAAGTTACCAATATATTCGCTGTAGCACTGTTGGTTTCACGTGTTCAAGGTTAGAACTGATACAAAATACAAATAAAAATATATAAATTTAATCTAAATTAATGGGAAGAAAACTCATATGATTTAACTTTTTAAAAGAAAAGAGAGATTACGATAAATTTAATTCAATTAATTTGAGTCGTTATTTTTAAAAATTAACATATAATAAGTTTAAAATTTAAATTTAATATTTAAAATTAATTTTTATTTTTAAACTGTAATATACTTTGTAAAAAAATTTACAGTGAAAACCTACATTGGATTTATCATATTATTGGCATTTTGGAGTGAACTTCTTTTTATATAGGCTAGGAAACAACCTACTATTTGTCATTTCACCAAAGCAAATACATTGAAAATATTTAATTAAATTAAGGTATCAAATTATATAATTATCATCAAAATGAAAATTTTATATGTTAAAAGGTTTTATTATTATTATTATTATTTTGATGAGATGTTAAAGGTTTTACTATTTGGACCAGATCGGTGACTTGTTGATAACATGTAGTCCTTTTAACCCAAAAAAGTCCATTGTAGTTTTGCTTGATAATAATTGGACTTGGAGCCTGTGTTAGTTGAAAAGAGCCGAAAATATGCCGTAAGCAACAACTGTGCTTTTATGGCCCAACTTTTACGAATCTGTCCTTTTGCTTTGTTTTTTTGTACAGTGGGCAACCCCACCCATAGTTTGTACCTTCCTACGAAGCATCAAAATGATTTTTTTTAATGTTGAATTATGATTTTTTTTTTTAAGGAAACATGTACGGGGAACATCCGAATAACATGAGAATTCAACTGTACGAGGAACCATATCAAGAACCAGAGATCAAATATCTAAGGGCTACGTATTTGCCACGTGGCACATTCTAAGAACTCCATAGGGTAGACAATTTGGGTTTGGGATATTCCGACCCATGTACCATGATACCAAAAGCAGGCGACAGCCAGCAACTTTTTTCCAAAGCTTCATTAGAGAAAGAATTGGGAACTTTAGGTTTAGCAGAGATGGAGATAGAAGTGGGGTTGCTAGAAGAAAAGAAAAAAAGAAGTTTCCTGGTGAGAAAAAGATGGGATTCTTGAAGCAGAGCATCGAGTTTTACTCATGAATTACCAAAAAGAAAAAAAAGATGTACTATAATATTTTCAAAAACTTCATTTTGGGCACTATCAACAAATTCAAATGTTTTCTTGCTTGAGTTTTCCTTGATTTAGGCATATTTATGGCACCGCAGAGCCAGGAGAAACTCGGGTCAATGGCTGAGTCGAAAGCTCAGTTCTTTCTGATGATTTTGAATCTTGTCTTATTTGGAGCCCTGACGTCGTTAGCCTCGTTGCTCTCCATTTGCCTTTCAATGGACTTATGGACCTGACTTGAACTCCGAAAAAAAGGATTGGGCAAATTGGGATCCGCTGCCTCATGGTCTGGAAAGTTGACCTTCATGGCGGCTTTGACAGTCTCATTGACGAACGAGCAACCACCGCTGCAAAGTTCTCTTCTTCAGTTTGTTTCCAACAGAAGGGGATTTGGTCAACTCTCTGTGGATTATGCTGACCTGTTTTATTCGTCACCAGCATATAATATCTAATTTCAACTTAAACTTACACATCAAAATGAAGGTCAACTTTATGATTGCATATTTTATTTTCATTAGATGTTGATCTATCTAAAGACTGCTTCCAAGCTTGGAAATGGTGTAAAACCTAAAGCAAAATACGTGCTATTAGTTTACCTGTATGTTTCAGCCGACCAACCAACCATCCCTCTGCCGCCCTGGTTAATACCCATTAAAAATTCGACATACAGGCTTCTTAAGACTAATTTTCGGTTCCATATATTTTGCCAGAACCATTTTGGCACAACCTACGCCGGCAATGGGTTCTTTCTCTGTCATTTCTCTTTTTACCCTCTCCTTATTTTGTTGTAGATCCCTGATACAAGCTCAGCAGCCTTATGTTGGATTAAAAGCAACAGATTGTACAAATCCAGATACTTCAGATTCGGTTCTTGGATACACTTGTAATGGCTTAAACAGGAGTTGCCAAGCATATCTGGTTTTCAGATCCCAACCCTTATTTAATACTGTTACATCAATTTCCAATCTCTTGTCTTCGGATCCATTTCAAATTGCTGAGATAAATGAGGTTTCTGAGACTGCAACATTCGAAACAAATCAGTTGGTTATAGTTCCTGTCAACTGCTTATGTTCTGGTGATCACTATCAGGAAAACACAACTTATTCTATTCAGAGTGGAGACGGCTATTTATCTGTTGCAAATAACACCTTTCAAGCCCTCTCAACCTGTCAAGCTATACAGAATCAGCAGCCTGGCATTCGCTCCGAAAATTTGACCATTGGATTAAGAATTACGGTTCCTCTTAGATGTGCTTGTCCCACAAAGAATCAAACTGACGAAGGAATTAATTATCTGTTGAGCTACCCAATTGCTCAAGGTGATACTGTTTCAGGTATTTGTGAGATGTTTGGGGCGGATACTGAGAGGACTCTTGAAGCCAATCAGCTTCCTGATCCCACCATTTTTTTCTTCACTTCACTTTTGGTTCCCCTCCAGCACCCACCGTCTAAAATCACTGTGCCTTCTCCACCTCCACCTCCACCTCCACCCCCACCTCCACCCATAAATTCTCCCCCCAGTGGAAGCTCCAACAAAACATGGATTTATGTACTTGTTGGTGTTCTTGGGGGAGGTGCTCTCATATTGGTTGTTGGCACAGTTATTTTCTGTGTGTTCTCCCGTAAAAGCAAGAAGAAACCTGATTTGATCATCACATCAGAAAGTTGTGAGACTCGTGGAAAACCATCGAAGAAAAAGTTGGGGGATGAATCTCAGGACTTGGATAGTATGTCAAATATAGCTCAATCTCTCAATCTCAAAGTTTACAAATTTGAAGAATTGCGGCTTGCGACAGATAACTTCGGCCCCAGCTGTCAGATTAAAGGATCAGTTTACCTTGGTGTAATTAAGGATGATTTTGCTGCCATTAAGAAAGTACATGGAGATGTGTCAAAGGAGATAGAACTGTTGAACAAGGTCAACCATTCAAATCTTATTCGCCTTTCAGGAGTTTGTTTCCATGATGGGAATTGGTATCTGGTTTGCGAGTATGCTGCCAATGGAGCATTGAGCGACTGGATCTTTCACAACAACAACAGTGGAAAGTACTTGAGCTGGAAACAGAGAATTCAGATTGCATTAGATGCAGCCACAGGACTTAACTACCTCCATAGCTTTAGCAATCCTCCTCATGTCCACAAGGACTTAAAAAGCAGTAATGTTCTTCTTGATGGTGATTTCAGGGCTAAGATTGCAAACTTTGCTCCAGCAAGGTCAACGGAAGGGCTGGAGGGCCAATTTGCCTTGACTAAGCACATTGTTGGGACAAGGGGCTACATGGCTCCTGAGTATTTGGAAAATGGTTTAATCTCCACCAAGCTTGATGTTTATGCATTTGGGGTTCTCTTGCTGGAAGTAATAACCGGGAAAGAGGCTGCTGCATTCTATGGTGAGGAATATAAGGACTTATCAGACATCCTAAGGCATGTGCTTGATGAGAAAGATGGACAGGAGGGTTTGAAGCACTTGACTGACTTCTGTATCCTAGAGAACTATCCTTCAGAACTTGCCATTGTTGTAGTCAAACTGATAAATAGTTGCTTAAAAAAAGATCCAACAGCTCGCCCAGCTATGGACGAAATTGTGCAATCTCTGTCAAGAATTCTGACTACTTCATTGGCATGGGATTCATCAAGCAACATGCTATCGTCTCAAACATCCTCTGGGAACTATTGATGACACCATGACTGAAATGGAACCTTATTTAGTTTTAGTGAGTTTTTAGCGTTTATTTATTAAGTTTTTTTTTTTTTGCAAGGTTTATAGCCTTATCTCCCTATCCCTCTTTCCCTCTATTTAGAGCTGGTTGTAAGATGATAAGTTCATTCACATCTGCAACGAGCTGCATCTGCAGTTCTTTCTCTATCCATTTTCCAGATATATTTGAACGTTTTGCCTTCTTAATCTAAAATATGAAATATATGTTACATTTTGTTGTTTTGTTGACTATGATGAGTTGTTCCATACATTTTACTTTTAATAATAGATACTGTCATGTTTTAATACCTTCAAGTTTAAGCAGTTGTGCTAGAAAGAAGCTATTAATTATTAACCAATTCGAAAGTACAAAGAAGCATTTGATTGCAGATATAATTCATGGCGGTCGCCATATGAAATATCTAAAAGGCCAATTAAAGTGAGAATTTCTCAAGATCACAATATTTGGATTTTGCCTACAACTCCAATGAACCACATGACAAATGCATCAACAGACAAATTGTCTGTTGTTCTGTGAATTGAACATAGATTATATGGACCTGTTTTGAGGTTTAACTATTGGACTATTGCCTTTTCCATTCGCATAAATGAAACATAGTCCAAACATCTTCAAAACTGAAAACCAAGCAAAAACTGTACATTAGATCAACCCTGGTTTGGCAAAGAAAAAAAATTTGTACATTAGTTATTACATGAAGTGAACCTATGGATTTTCTGCGAAACTTAACGTGCTATGACTGGACTGACGATTTGAGCAAGTTCGGTTTCCACCCCTGAAGACCAAGAGCCTTCCAATGTCTCAAAAGATGAATGAATAAGAACAGAAAGGCTAAAGACGATTTCTGCCATGCTTGGCCTAACCAGAGGATTCTCTTGTGTGCAGGCCATGGCCAATACTGCCAAGCTTAGAGCATCATTAATGGGATAGAATCTGTCCAAGTTCGGATCCATCCATTTCCTTAGCCTCTTCTCCTTCTTTTCTTCACTTTCTAGGACTTCCCTTAGATTCTTCCACAGCATGAAAATCTCACCATTTTCTCTAGTCGCCATGGCTTTCTTTCCTGAAAGCAACTCTAACAGTACAATCCCAAAAGCAAAAACATCCACTTTTGGCGTTATAGCATTTGTAGTGGTTCTAGCCACTGAGAAATTAGCAATCTTGGCCCTAAACGTGGAGTCAAGAAGTATATTACTTGTTCTGATATCCCTGTGGACGATGTTTGGTTGAGTGTGTTCATGCATGTATTGCAAACCATTGGCCACATCCAGTGCTACTTGTAACCTCTGGCTCCATGTCAGAAAGGCTACATGGCTTGAAGAAGATGAACATTTTGGATGCAACCACTTATCCAGTGATTCGTTTTCAGCATATTCGTAAACCAAGAAGCAATTGCCATCTGAATCAGCTGAGACACCCATTAACTTCACCAGATTTGCATGATTTACTTTCTGCAAAATCTTTAGTTCCTCGGTAACATCATTCTTTGTTTTCTTTATGGCTAACAGTTTCCCATCAATAGTGGCCCTATACACTGTTCCTCCAATCCTGCACTGTTCATCGAGGTTCATGGTTGCCTCCATAATCACCTCAGCCTCATACATGATTGGCTTGCCTAAGTAGCCAGAAAGCCCAGGAAGTAGCTTATCCTGTATGATGTTTGACTGGAAACTTTCACCTTTTGTAAGGTCCTTCACTGGAATCAAACCAACCGTCTCCAAAGAGGAACCATTGCGCTTGAAAATCTTCTTTCTCTCGTGGAATAACAAAGCCACTAAAAGGAAAACAAACAAGGAGCCTACTGTGCTCATAACAACAAGCAGGATCCGCTGATGTTTGGACTTGCTTCCTGTCAAGGGAGAGAGGTGAGTTTGAGACAGAACCGGCAATTCTGATACGGGGATCATCAGTGGAGGAATTGCTGCCAAGCTAATGTTCTGGTAATTATTTAACTTATTTTCTTGAATGATATCTACTGGTGATGCATTGAACATGGCACTTACACTCCAAACATTGTCATTTGGTTGCCATGCATAGCTAATCAAATATTCAGTTCCATTCTCCAACTGGGCTTTTGAAGGACACTTGCAGAACAAAGGAAATACCACTTTGTCACCACTATGCAAATTTTTTGGATCCAGAGCGGGGTTCATGTCTTCCACTGCAATATAATTGGTGAGATTCTCAAAAGTAGTGGTTGAAACTATGTAGTAGGTGTCAGCAAGCTTGATGTCATAAGTAATATTGGCAAAATAATGCTTCCTGGTGCAACCACAGGTTATAGGTACCAACAATAGTTGGCCTGGGAACAACTGCTTGTCCTCAGAATCCAAGTTACTAGCTTTTGCTATCTCTTGAGGGCTGGTTCCAAACAGATCAGAAATGTTTTGCAGATCCAAGAAGTCTTGTTCCTGCGCAAAGTACGCAGCATATGTTGAACATGAGGTGGATGAGTTCTTAAAGCAGGAAAAGTCTGATTGAGCACTGATAAAGGAGGCAAAAAAGTACTGAAATATAAAAATTAGAACCTGCAAGCATTGGTGAGAAAGAAGAGAAATTGCCATTGACAACAAACAATGAGCCAGGGTTATCAGTGTATTAGGCCCTGAAGCAGTATATTTCATAAGTGCTAAGATGAAAAAACCTTCTTATATCACTTAAAGTTGATGGAAAAGCTAAAAACCATTGTTATTTTATGAACTAGTAGCTTTCCCTCTGAATAAAATAAGTTTTTTCCAATAATAATCCAAGTGACCCTTGTCTCTAGTTTTGATCTTAAATGATTACTTAATTATCTTCTCCTCCCCACAGCAGAAGAAAATCAAAGGCGACAAAACTTCTATTAATTCCACCATTTTCTGGATTATACTTCAATTTCTGGTGGGAATCTTTTGATTAGCATCAGATGAGTTCAATGCAACAACCCAAGTCAGGACGGCAAGCAGTTGCAATCCCATATGAAAAGTAAGCCAATCTATATGAGCTGTCTAAAATGACAACTCCTCCTTCAGCATACATTTAATATTAATCAAGAGACTGATATAAAGTTTCCATAAAACATGAATCTGCAATCTGCTAGCATAAAAATCCTACATGTGGGACTGAAGTGGACCAGGAAAAAAGCTTACAGTTCAGCTTGTCGGAAACGTCCAGTAAATGGGATTTAACCTTCAATGGAGACAAACCAGAACAGACAAAGTAAAGAGTTAAACTGTCCAAATGACCTAGTTTTATTATTAGAAAAAAAGTGAAAAGAAACTGTTTTGCAGGTTTTTTTTAATATCCTTTCAACTCCCCCATCACACTTGAGTACATGATTTAAGTTCTTTTAATTTTCATTTTCCATCCTTTTCAACATAATTTTCTTCTTTTGCTTTTCCTTCACGATTTCCCTTTGTGACCTTAACCCTTGTTTCTCACATCCAGACATTTTGGCCAGGGAAAGATGACAAAAGGTTGCTTTCACTATCATCACTGAAATCGTGAAATGCCATACAATTCAATAAGCAACCCGATGGTGCTCAAAGGCAATCTCATTCCCTTCCTACTTTACACGTTTATAACCAGCTCAACATTTCCATGGTGTGCCAGTGCCTAGTAGGGCCATCAGTCCTAGGGATCCAGCCAAAACGCACCCTCAAAGGGAACCTGAATCAATAAGGGTTCCTTTAAATTGTGGGTCTAAGGCAGCCTCCGTCCTTCGCCAGGGTATGTAGTACTTGCTGGCTCCAAAGTGAGAACTTGGAAATTAATTGTTTTTTTTTTTCCTTTGAAGTTCCATGATACCATATGTTAAAAATATTGGAAAAAATATTACTTTGATATTTAAAAAGCTTGACAAGCTTGTTAATATCAACATTAGAACCTTTGAAAAAAAATCAAGTCAGAGCATATTTTATTCTCTTAGAAATGTACCAAAAAAAAGGAAAGGTCCAACATTTCTTCTCGTTTGCAAAGCAGCTAAGAAATGGCAGGAAAATCCCAGAGATGCTAGCCAGGAAAAGGAGAAATAGATAAATGGTGTAAAATATACTATATGTATCTGTGTATCCTATTTGTTATCGCTTATAAGAACTCAAGTACAGTGTAGTAACTAGGAATATACTATGTCTATGTGAGGAGAAAATTACAATAGCTGCAGATGAACATTTTCATTTGGTTATTCAGCTTTATCATGTATTAATCTGGATGGCTTTTGATTTTAGAGGGTTTAATATGATAAGATCCTGATTCTCGAACCATGCAAAGGGACAGACCAGTCATTGTTTAGTTTTCTACATCAGACAGGAAAGCTTCGGGTCTTCCGAATATGATCAAGGGTACTTCTGAGATCGTACGTGTTCACTGCTCGATTACCTTGCCTGAATCCCTCTCCATAAACTAAGGATGGTTCCGACTCAATCTGATGCTTAAAAAAACCACCAAGTTTCTTCTCAAAATCAGAGCGCTTGCCTTTCCTTGATGATGCGGAAGAGGATGATGCTGCTGAGGAAGATGATGAAAAGGCTGAAGCAGCATGGCTTCCTGATGCAGCGTAGATCTCAGAGTCCAACCACATATGAGCCAAAACCTGACATATACCTTCCTCAACTTCTGGACGCAGATTAGGATAACCTGTCAATTTTACCACAGTGTTAATGCTCCCTGCCTTACGATAAAACAATGCAATCATTCATCATGGACTCGAGGAACAGATAAACACCTTTAAGCCTAAGCCAAGCATGCATCATCTCATGAGCTAGGATAGATCCTGTCAGCAGCCTGTATTTATAAAAAGATTTTTTTTCAGTCATATATATCAAAGGTAAAGTAAGTCTGGATAGAAAGATTGAACTGAAAGGAAACAAAAGATAATACCTAGGAAGGCCATATAAAATGAGAATAGCTGTAACTTCACATCGACGAATTAGCCTATAAGGCTTAGTTCTGATGTCTATGAACCGATTGCCTGCCCCAATCGTGGGTCTCCTTGAAACCTGGTAATTTGGTCCAAATGCGGAATCCAATTAAATACGAAGGTAGCTTGATAAAACTGAACTACTGGAATTAACAAGTAAGAATCTGAAGGGAAATTCATACGGTGTTAACAGTCTGTTCTTCTGACAAGCAGAGTCCCCTAGTTTCTGGTAAGTGATGATGCCCCTGCCCAAAGTTAAGACATTATGGTAAATGATATGATAAAGAAACAAGGCAAAGGGTATTTCCTCTGACAGATAAACTTTCAATAGTTAGCCTTACATTCTTTTCTCCCTCCATGGCCTCGTTTAGAGCTTGCCTCTCTACCAAAAGTAGAGGAACCTCTTGTTCCACTTTCATATTTAATCCTTCAAAAAATTCTTGGATTTCAAGGTAAAGAGGTTGGCATTGATCAGTATCCGTAATTGCAGAATCTAGACACTCTAGGCACAGCTTCCGTCCATCATCAAGTGATAAATATTTTGCATCTTTTGGCTGCAAGCATCGAAAGGCTTTAAGACTTTAAAGATGTACACACGTTTTTCGTATAACTACAAAAACATGCTGTTCCCTTCTCTTTGTTCCATTTCTAATAGAAAAGGGAAGCATTCTTGCAACTCACCTCCATTCTTTCACAACTACAGCAGCGAGGAGTGCCATCACGCACATGCAAGGGGCAGTAAGTTTGCTTCCAGTAGTGATGCCTCCTACATTCAGTAAGACCATCTGGATTTGTCGGTATCTGTAAAATAGGAAAAAAAGAAACAAGGTCAGCATCTAAATAATCCGATGGGCAAAGAATTAACTGGATGTTCAACATATTAATGTTTAAACTAATAAAGACATGGCCTTAAACATGAAAACTATAGGGCCTCAGAGATATCATATATCTTAAAAATCCAAGAATAACACATCAACAGTGGCTTAGACATTGAGCAACTGGCGCTTATAGCAGACAAGCAGCTATACTGAGAACACTTGATCAGGAGTTTTCCCAGAGTCAGTAGACTTTGATGGGCTAATAGACTTATTTAGAAATGCCACTTCGGAATAATTAGCATATGCAGGTATTAGTCTCCATATAGGTTAGAGAAGCCCGGTGTTTCTGTTAGTCAACCTCTTTGATTTATTAATCACAATATTTGATGAGAAAAACCTAATCAAGACTTCCCTCTACAACTACATGTGAATCATTTAGTTATCCATTTGAATTAGATGCACGGTTACATATTTATATTAGATAAAGAGATCAGATAAGAAAACCTGCTTATGCAAAATAAATAAGGTTGTAAGACCCTGAGATGGATTTAGCACTTACGAATTTCTTGCAAACATAACACTTTGGATGATGCTGCTCCTTATAGCAGGATTTATGAAATGGGCGATTCCCAGACACTGAAACCTATCACCAGGAAAGAAATTTTAAAATTAGGCCATATACAATATTCACTCAATGCCCGTTAACTCAATATGATAAAAGAGTAGGAGAATGACTGAAGCACAATGTATAATAGTTTCAAATTAAAATATCAATAAATACATGAGATTTAGACCTTATCATCATTAATTGGCTGGCTGCAAGCATGACAACGAAAACATTTCGGATGCCAAAAAGCACCCTCGCAACTCAGATATCGTCCATGAGCAATCTCAGCATTGCAAGCAGCACAGATTCTGCAAGAGCATGATTTTGCAAACTAGGTCAGCTTTCATGTGATACATGTGAATAAACTCAATTAATTTGCGAGCTGCTAGACAAATTTGAAAACAAAAAAGAGTCGCCATCAATATTTTTTAGTTAAGTGTAAGGGTGAATAGTCGATCGGTTCGGTTTGAAAAAATTAATAACCGATTTAACCGACTTTTATTCTACAAGTAACCCAACTAACTAACAAAATTTTAAATAACCAATTTAACCAAACCGATAAAAAATCAGTTCAATTTGGTCAATTCAATTAAATAACCGAATTTTTCATCAATTTTTTCCCTACTTGAAATAATTATTTAGCTACAAATTCAATCCAATAAAACTCAAATTCACATATCATTCAAACTAAATCATTAAAGAATTTAATAATTTCAATAATATTTTACAAAAAAAAAGACAAATAAATATTCATCTAAACTTGTTTAATCAAAATGAATTAAAAAATAAGTTTTAAAAAGTGTGATTCCCAAGAAAATGCGATACCCGAGGTTTTCTTTCATTTTTAGGGCATTCCATGTTTAAATTCACTCATTTTGATGAAAAAAATCCATATATATTAAATCTTAAATAATTACTATAATCTCATTAGTATATATGATGGTAGCTTAAATAATCCAATTTTTAATTAAAAAAGATTATTCAAGACATTTTTTATTAGAAAACGCCTTCAATAATCTTTACAAAAAATTTAATTGAGTTATTCAAGGTGCTTGTGACAAAAAACGTCTTGACAAATTCTTGTCAATTTTACGAGAGGATTATTTAAGGTGGTTTTGGCTAAAAACGCTTTGAATAATCCTTTTCAATTTTTATGAGATTCAAGGCATTTTTGCTCAACAAAACCTTTGAATAACCCTTTACAAAAATTTGAATGGATTTATTGAAGGGATCTCTGATCAAAAACATCTTGACTAATCTCCTTCAATTTTTTTGAAAAGATTATTGAAGCGTTTTTAACAAAAAACGCCTTAAATAATCCCTTTCAATTTTTAATTTTTTATATGAAAAAATTTGAATGGGTTATTGAAGGGGTTTTTGCAAAAAAACGCCTTGAATAATCACTTATAAAAAAAAGTATGGGATTACTCAAGGTGTTTCTGACAAAAAACGCCTTGACTAATTCCCTTAAATTTTTTTGACTAATCCCTTAAAAACATCTTGACTAACCCTCTTCAATTTTTTTGAGAAGATTATTAAAGCGTTTTTAACAAAAAACGCCTTAAATAATCCTTTTCAATTTTAAATTTTTTATATGAAAAAAATTTGAATGGGTTATTGAAGGGGTTTCTGACAAAAAACGCCTTGAATAATCACTTATAAAAAAAAGTATAGCATTACTCAAGGCGTTTCTGACAAAAAATGCCTTGACTAATTCCCTTAAATTTTTTTGAGGGGATTATTAAAGACATTTTTGGCAAAAATGCCTTTAATAGTCCCCTCTCTTTTTTTTTTTGCAATTATTGAAGGCAATTTTGAAAAAAAAATGCCTTGAATAATTCCTTATAAAAATTGAATGGGGTTAGTGAAGGCATTTGTGACAAAAAAACCACTTGAATAATTCCCTTCAATTTTTATGAGAAGATTATTTAAGACGTTTTTGCTCCAAAAAGGCATTGAATAATCCCTTCAATTTTTATGAGTAGATTATTCAAGGGATTTCTGCTCAGTAAACCCTTTGAATAACCCCTTACAAAAATTTGAATGGGTTTATTGAAGTCATTTTTGACCAAAAACATCTTGACTAATCCCCTTCAATTTTTTTGAAAGGATTATTAAAACATTTTTGGTAAAAAAACACCTTGAATAATCCCCTTCAATTTTTAATTTTTGATGAGAGATTATTCAAGATAAAATTGAATGGGTTATTGAAGGTATTTCCTGACAAAAAAAGTCTTAAATAATCTCTTATAAAAAAAAATAAGATTACTCAAGACGTTTCTGATAAAAAACCCCTTGACTAATTCCCTTCAATTTTTTTGAGGGGATTGTTAAAGGCATTTTTGGCAAAAATGACTTTAATAGTCCCCTCTCTCTTTTTTGCAATTATTGAAGGCAATTTTGAAAAAAAAAATACCTTGAATAATTTCTTATAAAAATTAAATGAGGTTAGTGAAGGCATTTGTGGCCAAAAACCACTTGAATAATCCCCTTCATTTTTATGAAGAAATTATTTAAGGCATTTTTGCCCAAAAAACGTATTGAATAATCCCTTGCAAAAAATTGACTGGGGTTATTAAAGATATTTTTAGCAAAAAACAGCTTGAATAATCCTCTTCAATTTTTATGAAGAGATTATTTAAGGGGTTTTTGCCCAAAAAAACGTATTGAATAATCTCTTGCAAAAAATTGACTGAGATTATTGAAGAGATTTCTAGCCAAAAACATCTTAAATAATCCATTACAAAAAATTGAATGAGATTACTTTAAGTGTTTTTGATCAAAAAGTAAGTTTAAGGTTTTTTTAAGGGAATAGGCATATTTACCCTTAGTTATTATATGCTCGTTTAATTCAGTTAATTCAGTTATCAATTTTGAAAATCAATAACCGATCGATTTAACCAATTTAATCGATCCAAAAACCAACTATAACCGAAAATCGAATAGGCCGAATCAAAATGACCATATTTCATCAATTTCGTTTGGTTAAATTAGTTTGAACCGATATCTGCTCACCCCTAATAAAATGTGATTGACCACTTATTAAAACTTACATTTTTAGTAAAAATTTTAATTAATTTTATAATTAATTAAAATTTTTATCAAAAAAATAATTTTTGAATCTGCGAAATAGTTTAGGTTCGAAAATCAATTACCTGTGGGAAATGATTAACACCCACATAGGGCCCATTAAAGACAGTACTAATTAATTATGTATTATCTTTCAATTTTGACAAAAAGAATCTTAATTTTGGTATTTAAAATTTAATTTTTTAATTTTATTTAAAAACATATTTTTAATTTTTTTAGTTTGCTTAAAAAATAAATAAGAATATTACATATTGAAAAATCCCTAAAAATATGCTTAGATTTTGGCATATTAAGAGAAACCATCTCACATGAATCTTTAAGAATCACTACTTGAAATTCTTAAAAATCTTATCATCGGTGGTTCATATTTATTTTCAATATTTATATTAAGTAAGTAGATTGTAAAATATGATATTTATAACTTAAAATTAAATAATATTTTCTAAAAATTCATTTCTTATGCCACTTATAGAAAAAAAAGAAAAAATTTTATTAAAAATTATTCAAAATGCTCTAATATATTGACGATATTTTAGATAAATTTTCTTGCCTAAAGATTCTTAAAAAATCACTACTCAAATTTCTTTTAAATCTTATCTTTGGAGATTTTCATTTGCTTTTATAATAATTATTAATATTTACACGTTATATAATAATATAATTATCTATAAATAAATTTATTTTTAAAAAATGAATATTTTTATATTAGTAAAAAATTACTCAAATTAAAAATAATAATAATAAAATGAAAATTTTCGTATTGAAAAAAAATTTTAAATATTCCAATAGTTTGATAATTTTTAAAAAAATTTTCACCTAGGAAATTATTGAAAATTACAACTCAAACTTTCCAGAGTCCCATCATAGAAAATCTCCATTATTGTTTATAATTAATATATGTGAAATATGATACACATGAATTAATTCGTAATGTTAGTGCATTATATAAAAATTCATTTTTAGAGGTGAAAAATAAATAAAAATTTTTCGTATAAAGGATTATTCTAAACATTCCAATTATTTGATGATGTTTTTCAGAAAAATTCTCTCACCTAAGGATTTCTTAAAAATTTCTACTCGAATTTTCTTAAAATCCTATTCTTGAAGATTTCGTTTACTTATTTTCTTTCCCATTTAATTTTATTCTAATTTTAATTTTTAGTTTTGATTATCATTTTTAATGAATTAGATTTTTTGAAAGATAAATTTAATTAATCACAATATTAATTTCATTACTAAAAATGTAATTATATATTATTTTATCATTATCTAATATAATTTTAGGAAACTAAATGAATGAAAATCTTTTGTATGGAATATTTTTTAAAATACTCAATTACTTTGATAATATTTTTTAGAAAAATATTTTCACTTAGAGATTTTAAAAATTATTACTTGAACTTATTTAAAATCTCATTCTCGGAGATTTTCCTCATCATCATCGTTGTTATTATTATTATTATTATTATTATTATTATTATTATTTTGTATGATCTGAAGTGTATAAAAAATAAAATGTGCCAAACATACATTAAAGTATGAAAGATTAAATTAAAATAAGCATGTGAATTCAACTAATAAAGAAATTAAAAATGTATAAAATTAAACTTGCAATTAAACTTAAACAACATAAAAAATAATATGCATAGATATGATTAAGATTAAATACACGAAAATACCTTATTAGGAATCAATGTCAGGCTTTATAAAAATTTATTAATTATAAAATTCCACCTAGAAGAAACTTTCTGAACTTATCCGATTTTAAACTAAACAAAATGGGGCAAATGATGAATATACCATGCAATCTTACCATCATGGTCCCCACATCATGGTTTTTGGTATTTTCATGATATTACTATCCTATATATGTTTTCAATAACAAAAAAACACCTTTTTGTATTACATTACTAGTGAATAGAAAATAAAGTTAAAGGTTTAAACTTTCATTAATTAATTTTTAATTCATGTTTCATTACTAAAAAGTAATTATATATTACTTTATCATTATCTAATATACTTTTAGAAAACAAATTAATGAAAATATTTTGTATTGAATAATTTTCTAAATAGTCCATTACTTTGATAGTATTTTTTTTTTAAATATCCTCATATAAAGATTTTAAAGAACTACTACTCAAAATTTCTTAATATCTCATTATCAGATAAAATTTTTTTATCATTATTATTTTGATTTTTATTGTTAATAATCCTTCTTTTATATTTTTTATTATTATTTAAATATGAATTATTATAAAAATATCCAAAATATCATTTTTATTATTTAATTTTTTTAATATTCAATCCTAAAAAATAAACAAATCATGTAGCCCCCATCTTTTTAAACAAAGTTTTATTTTTCTTTTATCTATGACTTTCTTTCTTTAATATCTTTCATTCTTCAATCCTAAAAGAATAAGACAAACTGTATGGCTTCCTTTCTTTAATAATTTTTCATTCTTCAATCCTAAAAGCACAAGACAAATCGTATGGCTTACTTTCTTTAATAATTTTTTATTCTTCAATCTTAAAAAAATAAGACAAACCATGTAACCCCCACCCTTTTAAACAAAGTTTTATTTTTCTTCTGTATATGGCTTTCTTTCTTTAATTTTTTTTTTATTCTTCAATCCTTAAAAACCAAGACAAACCATATACCCTCATCCAAAGTTTTAGACAAAGTTATATTCTATCCATAGCTTCCTTTATTTAATAATTTTTTTCATTTTTCAATCCTAAAAAATCAAGACAAACCATGTAGCCTCACCTTTTTAGACAAAAAACTAAAGCTTTGTTTGAAAGGGTGGGGCTACACAGTTTGTCTTCGTTTTTAAAATTGAAAAATAAAAAAAAATTTATGAGAGAAAAAAGCCATAAATAGAATAAAACTTTGTCTAAAACTTTGGATGTGGGCTACATAGTTTGTCTTAATTTTAAGGATGGAAGAATGAAAAAAAATATTAAAGAAAGAAACCTATAAATAGAAGAAAAATATAACTTTGTTTAAAAAGGTGAGGATTACAGGGTTTGTCTTGTTCTTTTAGGATTGAAGAATGAAAAATTATTAAAAAAAGAAACCATATGGTTTATCTTATTCTTTTAAGATTTAAGAATGAAAAAGATTAAAGAAAGAAAGCCATAGATAAAAGAAAAATAGAACTTTGTTTAAAAAGATGAGGTTATATGATTTGTTTATTTTTTAGGATTGAAGATTAAAAATATTAAATAAATAAACATATGAATGATAAAATAATGTTTTGGATATTTTTACAATAATCCATTTTTAAACAATAATAAAAGGAAAATATAAACGAAGAATTATTAACAATAAAAATCAAAATAATAAGGAAAAGAAAAATTTTTATTTAATGATAAAATATTAAGGAATTCTGAGTAATGATTCTTTAAAATCTCTAAGTGATGATTTTAAAAAAAAAAATACTACCAAAGTAATAAAGTTTTAGAAAAATATTCAATACAAAAATTTTCATTCATTTAATTTCTTAAAATTATATTAGATAATGATAAAATAATATATAATTACTCTTTCAATAATGAAATTAATATTGTGATTAATTAATTTTATCTTTCAAAAGATTTAATTCATTAAAAATAATAATCAAAACTAAAAAATAGAATTAGAATAAAATTAAACAAGAAAGAAAAAAGTAAACGAAATATCCAAAAATGTAATGCTAAAAAAGTCCGAATAAAGATTCTTAAGAAATTCCTATGTGAGAAATTTTCAAAAAATATCACCAAAGAATGACTTTTATATAATGCAATAACATCATGAATTAACTCATGTGTATTATATTTCACATATATAAATTATAAATAACAATAGGGATTTCTAATGATGAAATTTCAAAAAGTCTGAGTAGTGATTTCGAAGAATTTTTTAGATAAGAAAAGTCTTCTAAAAATTATCAAAATACTAAAATATTTAAAGGTTTCTTTTCAATACGAAAATTTTTATTTTCTTATTATTTTTTTTAATTTGAATAATTTTTTTACTAATATAAAAATATGCATTTTTTTAAATAAATTTATTTATAGATAATTATATTATTACATAACTTTTAAATATTAATAATTATTACAAAAGTAAACAAAAAATCTTTGAGAATGAGATCTAAAAGAAATCCAAATAGTGATTTTTTATGAATCTTTAAATAAAAAAATTTATCTAAAATATTATCAATATATTAGAGCATTTAGAATAATTTTCAATAAAAATTTCTCTTTTTTTAAATAAATTGCATAAGAAATGAATTTTTAGAAAACATTATTTAATTTTAAGTTATAGATATTGTATTTTATAATCTGCTTCATAAATATAAATATTGAAGATAACTATGAACCGTCGATAATAAGATTTTTGAAAATTCTGAGTAATAATTCTTAAAAATTCCTTAGGTGTGGTGGTTCCTCTTAATATTACCAAAATATTAGAATATTTTAAAAGATTTTTCAATATGTAAGGTTCTTATTTATTTTTCTAGCATGCTAAAAAAATAAAAATATGTTTTTAAAGAAAATTAAGGAGATTAAATTTTAAATACCAAAATTAAAACTTTTTTTTATCAAAATTAAAAGATAACACAATAATTAATTTGTACCATTTTTAATAGGTGCTCGGAGAATATTAATCATTCTCCATGCGTAATCAACTTTCAAACCTAAATTATTTTGCAGACTCAAAAATTATTTTTTTCATAAAGTTCTAATTAATTTTAAAATTTTTATTAAAAAAATAAATTTTAATAGGTGATCAATCACACATAACCAAAAAAGATTGGTGACAACTCCTTTTTGTTTTCAAATTCGTCTAATAGCCCTCAAAAACTGTTACGACAAAAAAGATTCAAGCAAAATTGATGAGGTGACAAAGTGCGTCAGATGTGTTATATGAGCGAACATGCCTTTCAAGTTAAAGGCAAAATTGTATTAAACAACTGTAAGGTTTGCAGTGTTATTTGGGATGGAGTATTGATCGTTAAGAAACAACATGAGAAGAAAATATGCGTGACGAAGATGAAGATACTTAAATAGATGTATGGTAAGACTAAAAAAAAGACAAAATCAAAAGTAAAGAGATTTGCAAAAAATTAGAGGTAGTCCGAATTGAGTAAAAAATGATTGAGGTTTGTTTGAGATGGTTTGGACATGTGAAACATAGGCCTATTTGTGCATCAGTTAAGAGAAATGAGCTTCTAGATGGGAAAGACAAAAATTTCTAAAGGTAAACCGCGAAAGATATGGATGCAAGTGATAAAAGATTATATAATAGTTAATGAAGTAGTTGAAAAAGTTGTTTTTGATAGAAATGAGTGGCGCAAGAAAATTCAAAACTACATCCCAACATGACTCTTTTTTTTGGCCTTTCAAACAACTGACCCCAAAGTTATGGGATATAAGGCTTAATTTACTGTTATTATAGTTGTAATTTCAAGAGACAATATGTTACGGTTATATATTTGGAAGCATGTCTACAATTTCATAATTTTGCATAAGAATTACTATACTATCAATTTTCTGTAGAGATACAATTTCATTCACATTTTACCCATTTTATTCCAACTAAAAGTCAGACTATAATTTACCCATTTTATTCCAAAAGAAAACTACAATTTGTAGTTAAAGGAAGTTCTCCAACAACTGAAATGTGAGTATCAACTGCTAAGTGCTAATAGACACAATAGTAGATGGGTTTGCCTGTGTTAATAGGTCTGCATGCAAGCCCTAAGCAGGTTTTATGGCTTTGTCAATAGTGTATGTAATATAGATTAGCTTCCTTCTTCTACACTAGTCAATTTCAAAAAAAAAATAATGCAAAAGGCTCAGTATGACAAAATTACCTGTAACTAGCTTGAGACTCCACATACAAGCTTTCTTGAATAGCCTTAGCAAGTTGTTCATCTTCTTCCAATTGAACTTTAGCACGGTCTTCATCTTCATCCTCATCCCATTGAATTTTGGCATAGTGATCATCCTCTTCATCTACACGAGCTTTACCATATCTGTCCTCTTCCTCCTCGAAATGAGCTTCAGAATATTTGTCATCCTTGTCCTCTACATGACCTCTAGCATCTAGCTCATTCTCATCTGATTCATCCTCCGGTTTAAACTCATCTTCTACCAAGTGAATGGAAAACATGAGAGTTGAGACAAAAATAAAATTCTAACACATTGAAACCCAGGAACCAAGTTAAAAACCACCCCCCCAATCCTGACAGAGAAACTGGTCAGAGAAACAATTACCCTTTTGTTTTTCATTTTTTCTGTCTGGCCAGCCCCTAGTGAAGATGAAGAGTTTTATTAATTCATTATGGATATGGATACAGGTCATCTCGCACATTCAAAACCAGTTCAGAAGGATGAAATGTAGCCAATTCTACAATTGGTCAGCTTGCCAATTTTCTTACAGTAAAAGAAAACTACTAAAAAACTTTGTTTCCAATCAGTTCATATTTGCACCGTAAATTACTTTAGGACGGTTTAAAACCAAATTAAACTGGTCATAAACTTTCCTGAATGACCCCTATGGCATTCAAGAAGTAAATGACACTAATCTTCCTAGTTCCCAGTTCAAAATCTTTAAATGTATGGTTTCAAACAGAAATAACTACATGCTGGATTAGTTTCCGAACATTCAAAGAAATTTGGATACTGAAAATAATAATTAATGAGTAGAGGGTTGAGGAGGACTGCTATAGCACAATAAATTTTCATTTATCAAAACCAATTTGTGTCACCTTTTAACTAGTTAAGCATACCATTAATTTGCATGATCAGTACTTCAGAGATGCAACCGTACCTATATAGTTCTTGTGTTTTTGGTCTACTTCTGAAAGGGAAAGTGCGATAGCACAATCAATTTCTTCTTTGTCAAAACCATCTGAGTCTTCCTGCATCTGAGTTTTCCAACAGACTCACAGAGTTAACACTAGAAAAACCTCATAGGAATGAATGAACCAGGATCATGCAGACAGAGGTTTTCGAAGCATGACATTACATGCACGGACAAAGTTGCAACAATTAAATTTTATCATACCATCCGACCACATTTAGTAAAATATTAGCAGAATAAGTGATAATCTGAACACAAGCAACCAGCCAAAATCTATAAAGAGCAGAGCATTACCACTGAATGGCGAGGCTCATCCCAAGTTCTATCATCTCCATATCTCCCATGATATCGCACTTCATCAATTGAACCTTCAAGAATGTTGGTCAGCCAATCCATGACGTGAAATGCTATTTATTAACTAACCGGCAGCCTTTTGCCTGCAACCAAGTCATCCATATAGGAAAGCAGAAACAAATTTAAAACAATAAAGGAAGACAAACCACTCATATAGCAATACCAGCTTTGGCCAAAACCCTCAATCCAAAGAGAAAACAAAATTAAAGTATTGAAGAAATTTTATGAATTTCACCCTGGATTTCCCAAATCCAATCCAATCAAATCAAATAAATTCTCCCCCATGTATCAGAATTCAATGCCCCAGAATTCATACACTTGTGGCTCTCAGTGGCCTTAAATTACCACATCTCATATTCATACCAATATGAAAACACTCAAAACAACCACAACCAATATTGCATGGGGAAACAAATCCAGCTATATAATTCCTGAAAATCAAGATGACATGAAAAAGTTGCCGACTAAAGTGAATAAATAAAAGTTAAAAGCATCAAAGACTAACCAAAAAAAGAGTGAAGAATATGCAGAAACAACAGAATCTGATGAATCCCAGATCAGAAACAGCACTAAATTCACATGAATGCATAGTCACCAAAATACAGGAGACAAAAGGATATTCCAAGTTGGACCCTTAATTGCCATCAACCTAGCAAGAAAAACTTAGATCTTCTTCTATTGTAAAAAGGAAAAAAAAGTTAGATAACCAATTATTGGTGACAGATGAAGCCGAGAAAATAGAAAGCATAGAGATGACTAAAAAAGGGCACTTCAACCCTAAGCAAAAACCATGTCTTCTAAAGATAAAAAAGTAGATAAAAAATTGGAAATTTGGAGGATGATGTTTACCTTTCTTAAAAACCACCAAAAAAATTGGTTTTTTTTTTTTAAGATTACAGGAATCCAAAACCCATATGGCTTTGTTGAATTTGTTACATTTTCTTGATTTAACGTGTGGGTCCTTCATGTTCTGCCCATTTTCCACCACACTCCACTAAACGCCAAACACACTTCAGCTTTTTTTGTTGAAAAAATGACAAGAAGAAGGAGAGAGAGAGAGAAAAAAAAAAAAAAAGACTTCATTTCATTTTTTGATCTTTCTTTGCGGTTGTGGCTTGTGAGTTGACGGACTTGCCATTGCTCTGCACTTGCCCTGGTTTATTGATTGTATCTATTCTTTACTTTGGCAGCCCCTCCTTGGTTACCCCACTTCCGGTCATTGCCCCATGAATGACATTATGCCAAGTGGCAAAAGAAAATCTACTGTCACCCAGACCCAAAAATCTGTTTTTTTGTAATATTAAACCTAACTCTATCTAGAGAACATGAAAGTTTGAAGGAATAGATGAAAAACTACATCTCTATGATGTATTACAATCCCATACCAATGTTAAAAAAAAAAAGTAGTTGAGCATTCTAACTAGTGCGAGAAAGACAACCCTTCACTTTCTATATCCCATTGCTTTTTCCTTCTAAAGAAAGCTTATAAAAAGACTAAAAGGAAGATTAAAAAGCATATAGTATGTCTGTAATTAATGATTATGTATGTGTATGTGTCACGGGTCGAGACTCAAGCTCCGAACCCGTGCGGCTCCGGGACCCGGGCATTCACCCTTCCGGTGTCCCAGATCAGCCTTTCTGCCACAGTTCACACCCTTGTGAGGTGTTGTTCGCTCTAGCCCTCTGGCCTCACGGTTTTGTCCTACAAAAGGCGCCTCACAAGGCGGAGATGGTGTGAACCCTTTTATACCCCAGTGACCCTCCTATTATGTTCGATGTGGGATTCAGGACTCCTCCTTAGGTCCGTGACATTCTCCCGTACCCAACCTCGTGACGCCCTCGTCACGGAGGCTGGCCACCCTGCCTACCTCCCTCGAGGCGCTCGGCGTGGATCGAACGGTTTAGGGCTGGCTCTGATACCACTTGTCACGGGTCGAGACTCAAGCTCCGAACCCGCGCGGCTCCGGGACCCGGGCATTCACCCTTCCGGTGTCCCAGATCAGCCTTTCTGCCACAGTTCACACTCTTGTGAGGTATTGTCCGCTCTAGCCCCCTGGCCTCACGGTTTTGTCCTACAAAAGGCGCCTCACAAGGCGGAGATGGTGTGAACCCTTTTATACCCCAGTGACCCTTTAATCTGCTGATTAATTCATGTATCCCAAAGCCACAGCTCTCTTTTGCACTTGTCATGAATCTAGAGAGCTGAACTTCATCATTCTAAGAGTTTATTCAGATTGTGCTTAAGAAACAATAAAGGGGGGGGGGGGGGTTATCCAGATCAGTCATTCCATGCAAAACTTATATTGACAAATAGTATACAAAATTATTTTTTTTGTTCAAATATCTCATTTCATTCTTTAAAGAAAGTGTCATTTTAGGTGCCTGGTCTTAACTGAACAATAGGATATAATTGACTTGATGACTTGGGTATTTTTTTCTTAAACTTTTTTTTTTAATTTTTCAATGGTTGGATAGATTACAAACTATGAAGAATTCCTCTCATAATCTTCTCATTTTAATTCAGGGTCTTTTGTATTTAGACCATATATTTTTCATAGGAGTTTGAAATTGACTAGGAAACATTTAATTTCCCTGCAGGAAAAGGACTCCTACTCTCCATATATAATTGCAAAACCTTGTTTTCAGGCTCATATTAACGTTAGAGTACTAATGCAAGAATAATATCGAAATTCTGGAAAAGAATCTTGCTTTTGTTCAAAGGAAGAAGATCATGACGACTTTAAGCGGTTCATCAAACTGCAAAGACGTGCGAAACCCTATCAAACTAAGCAGCCGATGCATTAATGAGAGGTATCTGATGAGGCAAAGGTACCTGAGAAGCTATCCCTTGATGACAAAGAAGAAAGAGAAATTAGCACGAAATGTTGCGAGGAGAATGAAGAAGTGGTTAAAGGAGAAGCAGATGAAGTACTGCTGGTTCGATGATCAGGAGCATATGCAGACAGGGTGGCCAGGAGGAGATAATAAGAAATCTAAACCAAATCCAGCAGGTTCCTCCAACGTTGCAGGCTGCTTCAAGTTGTTGCTCGGTTGCGTGGCTAAAGTTGATGTGTTTAGAAGGGAGATTCCGGAACCTTTTGTTTTGGGTAAAAAAGCTGTAATTTCCTAGAATGAGTATAGCTTTTAATTATTGATTTTTTTCATATTAATCAATTATAATTTAATACTACATAATATTCATTAAAAAAGTTATATAGAGCCTGCTGATGGAATCTTACATAATTATTTATTATGATTAGTTAATTGCATGATTATAAAATATAAGATAAATCTAGTAATTTAGAACATCATGGTGACATACATGATACAACAAAAAGTAATATGACATGTAATAATAGTAATAATTATATATAAGTTTAATAAAATAAAAAAATTATTTTTTGTATTTTTATGTCAATATAAATTATGACATGTAATTTTCATGTAAATACAGTACGAATAAATAAATTTTAATTTTTTATATAATATGAATACATAAATTATCAAAGTTAATGTAAGATTATAATAATAAATATTGTAAATGAAATACTTCTTAAATTATGGATTTTTTTAATTTTTTACTAAATCATAACGAAGCCACGTTAGGGAAGGGTTGTAAAATTTTCTTAAATAAACATTTGAAATTATGCATTTCTTTTAGATATAGTTTTATGCTATGCATTTTCTTTTGAAATGGTCTTATTTTCTTTGTAAAAAGAGAATTTTTGACCAAATAATTTATGAATCTGAAAAGTAAATTTTGTTATTTATTTATAATTTTTCTTTGTTAATTTTTACTCAAACTTTTTGTGTACATTATCTCTTGGATATATGATTAAATAATCAATTTGAAATTTTTATATGTAAATTTATAATTTATTAGATTCTTTTAAAGATAAGAGCATGATTTTTCTAATTTAAATTAAAATGTAACTTTTTGTCTTTTTTTTTTTAAATAAAAAAGATATGCTGACATAAGAGTCTTAAAGTTCAAATATTTACTATCATTTTTATGAAATAATAATTCACTCATCTAATCATAGTTTTGATAAATAAAATAAGCATTTTTTGGCCAGAATAAAATAAACATTAAACCCAAAAGAAAAAAATTGGCAAGATAAATAAAATAAAAAAGAAAGAAAGAAGATAAAAAGATAAAATGGGCCAAAATTGACTGCTTAGGCCTAAACTGTTGGGCTCTGAGGTTGGGTTGTGGACTTATGGCCTGGGTTGAAATGGACACGTCTGTCACCCAAATGCCTTGTCGAAATTTGAAACAAAATGATGAAATTGGCATGAAAATATTTCTGGAGAAACATGTACAAATTAAAAGTTATATAGGAAATTAATCTTGGTTTAATAAAAATTTTCAAAAAGTAAATTAAACTCAAACATGTAATTAATAGTCCGCTTTCATTTTTTTTCTTTTCTTTTTCATACATTGAAATTAATATACCTGTCGGCTTGACACTAATGTCAAATGTATAATTTTTGTGAAATGACACGTATAATTTTAATTGGGAGAATTATTGAGCAATTTATCTACCAAATGCATTTGCACGAGAAATTTTGAAGAAATTTAAAATGAAATCATTTTAATATGCATTAATTAAGAATGCTAGTATTTGTATTTATTTTATTTGGATAAATATATTTTTTTAATTTAGCCCATTGAAATTTTATGAAATAAAAAAATAATTATAAAAAATAAATATATTAGAGATAAAACATATATATAATATAATATGGGTATCACGATATTTATAAAAATATATAAATATCATAAATAATATGAAAAAAAATTTAAAATAGAATAAAAAAATATTAATACTGTGTTTAATGGTGGGAGACATGGGGCCAACGGGGAGGTATTGAACGAATTTTCCAAAACTCACATATTTTAGGTGAGTTTTTAGAGAGATTTGAATACCTTAAATTTTTGTTTTAAATTTTTTAATTAAAAAATTTTTTTTTTAAATCCAAACAAGTAACTTTATATTTTAGACTTAAAAATTTTGAGTGAAATGAATATCCCAAATCAAGCACACCTGATCTTCACAATTCCACATCAAAACTTTGGAAATTCCAATATATATATATATATATATATATATGAGAAATTGACAATTAAAAGTGGAGCTATTATCAAAATTGTACAATTTATCCAACCCATATAGGCCCCTCATCCAAAAGCTAAAATAAGAACTTTTTTTATTGTTTAGCCTGCATTGACTCAAAATTTTAAGTTCCCACCTCTCAAGGATGCTAATCAATCCAAACTTTATTTTGATATTTTAAAATATAATATTATCATAATATATAGATTCATAAATTTATTGTTGATATAGATTAAAAAAATTGTTACTAATTTTTTTATTTAGGTATGATTGATTACCTGATTAAATCTGTTATATTTAAAGAAGAATCTCAAAATTAACTTAAATACCTTTAAATAATAAATTTTAATCTATAAAATCAGAGTTTAATTTTGAAAGTATAGTTACACGTGAAAAAAGTTATAGTATCCTCACAACATCTATCCATAGAATGGTATTAGTTTGATTCCAAATTATCCAAGCCTTAAAAAATGTTTATGTTTTTGTCGAAATATTAAATACTAAAAATTAGTCTTAAAATTGTCCCAATAATTTGGCAACAATTTAAGATAATTTTATTATCTCATGAATATTCATGAAAACTATTGTTTCATTATGAAGAAGCTTCGTAGTTGGATTTATTTATTTTATTTCAAAAAATTAGTAAAGTCTCCTAATAGTTTGGTAAAATTTATTTTGAAGCAGATCTCCCAATAATTTGATAAAATTTTTATTAAAAAAATTTT